ATTTTGTAATAAAATGGAAAACAAAACCCGTCAACGTAAATTCCCCGTTAAATTTAAGCGACTTTAATTTCAGCGGATGTTTCTCTTATGTTGGCTGTACCAGGTAAATTATTTTACCTACATTTTATAGACATTACATTTTCACATAATATGTTTTGATAATCATTAATTATAATATGTTTATTTTAATTTCAGACTTTACAGAGACTAATGAAATAACTTGTAACTTACCGAGTAAACACCTTTATGTATATCTATTTAACTATATATATATATATATTAGTTTATGCAGGATGATCATTTTATCGTGAACAACTCAATATCTCATTATTTTCCCATAATGTTTTTATACAATGTGGTCATAATTATTCACAATTTGTTTTGTTTTTACTCCCTTCCAACTTAGTTTTTTTTTTCTTTATAGTCACGTTTGAAACTTAAATGGTAACGCATACATTTCATCAACTTTTTTAATTAAGAATAATGTACTAACAATTTTGAATGGTCGATAACCAATTTTAGTAAAACTATTTTTTAAGTTATTATTTTTGAATTTACCGGGGTTCGAGGCTTAAGGTAGGAGGAAAGGCGGAGTGAAGTATTATATATATCTGCGTGCACTTCCCCAACACACTGGTTACCGACCAGTCAAAATTTTCAATTGAGATTACATTGTATAAAAAATGTAATTTCTTATTTGACCCTATGAGATTTTGAGTGGTTCACGATAAAATAATTGTCCTGTATACACTTACATAATATTGATCTCCATCTTAATAAAAAGTTTACATTACAATTTAATTTGGATTGCAGTGTGCATATTTCGAGAGGAAGAACTTGGAAGAGAATTAGAACGATTAATGAGCGATTGCATACGTAAATATACAACTTATCATTCTTATTCAAAATTGATAATTACTAGACCTATATGTATACATATGATAGAAATTTAAATCGAGTTTAAAGTCTTCAAGCTATATGTTTTTTTTTAACAGGAGTTTGACAATATATATTTTACATTGAACATATCGGTCTGAGTAATGTTGAGTTTTAGTGTGAATGTTTTTGATCAAATATAAAAAAACCAGCACAGTGGGTTCTGGGCATAGTGGGCAAAAAGAATAAATAACGACTTCGAAGTGAATCAGTAGATAGAAGAAATATTAAATATCAATAAATGCACTGGAACGGCAAAACGTTGATGAAATTTTATTATTTGTATTGAAAAGATTTTGTTCTCTAGACTTTTAATAATAAATATTGCTATTTGAAGAAATCGGTTAACGATTTAGTTGCTATTGTTGGCTCTGACGCAAAATATAAAAACACTCCTTTGTAAAAACAAAATCTTCTCTCCCAAAATAATTTTCATTAACTGTACAATTATTTCCTTTTAACATGGATATGTTATTGAGGCTGTGTACAAGATATTTTATGTCACCATTGTCGCGTTACACTTTCACTCTACTACGACAATAGACAAGTGTTAAGTGATAAATGATAAGATATTAGAGAGAGGTGATGTCAGATAAGAGATAACATATCCATGGTACAATGTTTTTCTGTAGAGCAGAGAAAATAAATAAATAATTTTTTTTTCTAGAACCCCATCCACATTTGCAACGTGAAGTAAAAGGTAACCAATCATTTATTCGATAAACAGCTTAAATATTCCTTAAAACTTAGATTTTCAATCATAATGTATAAAAGTTAATAGTTTTTTTTTTCTCGATCATGAAAGAGAAATGCGTCCCTTAATGAATGATATCTGATAAATGGACTCTCTACATAAAAAAATCATTCATTAAAAAAAAATGTCGTGGGTCCCAAACACACAAAAAAAAAAAATTAAACTCATTACAGTCTCAGTTTCACTTAAAATCTAAAATTAGATAACAATTTATTGTATTGGAATTGTTCAAATACTGTCTTTTAATACATTTATTTTTTCATGAAAATCTGGAATTTTTTTTTTAATTCTTTTTTTAAGACAAACATAAACTAAGAGCAGTATGTCGTTTTTCTTAAAAATCTTTTCAGCTTAAATAATTTTTACTAACTGTACAATTTTGTTTTCATCTAACAGGTGTTGTAACTCCTATCATTGGAAACAGAAGTAATCAAAACTCATTTATTCGTTTTTTATTTTAATTATTCGTATGCTATAACCAAGTAGGAACATATTTTATTCGATAGTATAAATATAATAAATACTTAAAAAAATACCATAATGAAACAAAACTTTCTTCAATATAAGCTGTGTGGTCAAAAATTTGCGACACTCTGAAGTATTTCACTTCTGATCAGTCAATGATGACTACAACGTTACAAGTTCTTTGAATTTTAAGTATAGAGAATTTAGTTTCTTCGATTTTCCATGCTAATAGCAAGTTGTACAACAAAATATTAACATTACAGTTCTGTTATTCACTTTGGTTATTTATGAACTTTTACAGCTGTTAAAAACGTTAAAATAGCAACGCTTGGAGACGAACGAAGAAGATTTATTATGGAAGCTATTACAAAAATTACAAGTAAATATTCTTACATAGTTAAAACTGTTTTGCTTTCTTAACCGCATAATATACTAATTTAAATAATTTATGAGAATATTTTTTTGTTGTATTAAAGAAAACTAGTATCTAGTAAGCACAAGTTTGCAATTCGTTTAAAAAAAAAAAAAAAATGTTTTATATTTTAAGGTGAAGGTGGACTTAACGTTGAATCACTCGACACGTGTCGCCTAGTCGGATTGTTCAGAAGTTTGGTAAATTTCGAAAGTGACTCATACACAGTCAAGGCTGTGGTGGAAAATGGTGTTTGTGAACTAACTTCTAAAAAGAACATTGTCAGCAATTATGTACAATCTGAGAACGGAATTTATGAAGTCGTATTCCGCGGTGGTTCTATAAGACTAGAGAAATTTATCTAGCATTGTCATCATAGTTTAGACCACGTGTTAAAGTTCAATCATTAAACAATTAAAAATTACACTATACTGTTGTTATTATTTTGAATAATAATTGTTGTATACTGCACTTACATCCAAATTATCAGTCAATATAATGTATTTGATAATAATAAGTTTTACTCAAGGTTTGAACACGTATGTTGATTTATGTTGGAAAAAATGAGTGGGTTAAGTGGTATTTCTTCTGGAGCTGTGTGTGTAGTTGTAGGCTTTTGATTAGAAATAAAAGTAAACACAAAATCAAGAAGAATTCGAAAAAATATTCTTTATTTTTACCAATAATTTTGTACTTGTAAATAGTACACTTACATATAGTTCTTGACCAAGATGTTCTGCGATATACAACCGGACGACAAGGCGGCAAACAGTGCCAAAGCTACATTCAAGATTGTTGGTCAGTGTTAGGTTTGAACTAAAAACGGTTAAATCCGTAATAAAAATGTTAGGTATTTGAATCCACATTTGATTCATTCATAACTTAATCAAAAGTAATATACAATTACTACGATGATTCCACAAGAAGTTTATACGTTTTGTCTTATATTTGTTACATATTTTTTATCTATCTTTGTCGAGAATTCTATATATTTCATTTTTCCATGGAATTAATTTTGTTTATTACTTATTAGTTATTATTAATATACATTTATAAATTAGTAAATTGTCTCGTGGATATATTATTATCAGTGTGCCATCTTATAGTTCTAGGAACCATTGTTTGTTTTATAATTCACGCCACACACAAAATTATAACAATTATTATGGACCTGTTAACCGTATGTTCATAAATTATAATAACATAAAAACATTTACGTTTTGGTAATCTAATTTGTACTATGTTTATTATTATTGTTACGCCTTCGCGGCGTATAATGACAAAAAAAAAAAAATGTAAATTATATATAAAAGTAAATGTTTGAACATGAAATAAATTGATGGCATTATTTCTAGATAGACCGCGAGCTACAAAACAAAAATGGTTAAATTTCTATTAAACCCTTGTGTACAATATTATATAGACAATTACTATGTGTAAAATGTACTGGTAAAGATTTATACACATATCATACATTTCTATATTTCAAAGTATTTACAAAGAAATTTTAATATCTTTTCAAATTGAAACCATTTATACATGTCTGTTACTTTTTTTAAATTAATCTTTTTAAATCTTTTTCAACATATAATATAATTTAGCTCGAATTTAGTTTTTTTTGTGTGTGTGTGTGTGAGTGCTTGTCCTAATAGCTTAGAAAATCGATGGTTATACTAGCATTTCACATGGTAAGTTGACAGTGCTATCTAATCAGATATAATTTTTTAGATTATATTTTGTACTCGCACGTCTGTTAGTTCAATAATTCCATTTGATTATTCGTAAAAGAAATTATATTAAACTTTCCATAAGTCCCATGCGAAATAAACAGAAAATCACTTATCATGTTGTGTACAAGTTGCCGTTTGTAAAATGTAATATATTTCGTATCAACCATGTGTATTTATGAACATTTTAATTACTTGGGAAAACGCATGTGTATTACCCTAGTAACAAAAAAATAAATCGTATTGAAAAAAAATATTTTTTAACAAAAGCATGAAAATAAAATGTAACACAAAATTTGAGATTCAACATATTCTCTCTCCATTTTCCCCACAATTGATACAACTCCCCTTTGTGTTTTTTAATTTCTATTAATATATTATTTTTGATAAGTTTCAAAAGTTGCTATCCAAAAAACTTAGTTAAGAGGGGAGTAAAAAACGAAAACAATTGTAAAAAATTGAGATTTTTACACAACGTAAAAACAATATAGAAATCAAACCCAATATGATGTTGAGTGACTCCTGATGAAATAATCGTCCTATATATGATTTTTGTATCGATAAAGTGCTATAGGAAATAATTTTTTTATTTAATTAAAAAATTGTTTTATGTGAAACATTAATCAATTATCAGAACTCCACCACAGTTTAACGTAAACATGTAGTCATATTGAAAAAAATAAACCAGCTATGTAAACTAACGTACATGCACACTGTGAAATATAGTCTTTTACTGTTTCGGTCGTTAGAAGTCCGTAGGCAAGAAACAAGAACATAGCATCAATACAGTTGAATAAGCTGATCATTTTCTTAAAAGTTTAATAATTTAAGTAAGTAACACCGTCGAGCTTTGAAAGTCGTATGTACGCTTGTAATCATAAAATATAGGCAATTTTTTATAATAATATGAAATAAAAATAAAAAATTATTTTAAATGCGTATTTTAGATACAAAATTGTATTTTATTCTTCGTTTCTAAAATACACAATACCACGTCCAAGCTATTTTATTTTTTTTTTATTAATAAATTAGGTAAAAATAAATTCATCAAATAACAAACAGCCTTGTAATACCAACATAGTTTAATCTCGTAGCCAGGCAACTGAAACTAATATAAATAGCTTTTATTATTATTTACAGATAAATATGAAACTTTTCTGTTTTTTAACATCATTAATCTTTGTAAACGTTTCATCAGATGCACCAGGTAACATTTTATGTTCAAACTTACATAGTTGAGATAGGTAACAAATTCACTGTTTTCTTTACAGCGGATTATAAAAGAAATATTGCCAATACAAGTCGGTGACATTTTGATTTTATAAAAATAAAGTTTTAAAATTTCACTGTTTTTAAACATATATTTTTTAATTGTACATTACAGACGCATACGTTAAGCAAGCCTTTGGAAGAAATATTGTAGAACCTGGTTCTGTGGAAAGTAAGATATATTTATCAACTAATTTACCAATATTATAATACTATTGTAATGTTATATTTATTTGGCTATCGAGTGAGACAATTCATTTTTAATTAAAAATTATGGTTTCTATAAACAGTTCAGAAAAGTGTACTAGGTTTATAGAACGAATTATTTAAACACTGTGTGCTTTACTATAATTTTAGTCATAAAATAATTTACTAAAAAATAAAACAGAATCTCATTTTCACACAAAAATTGACATTGATCTATATTCTCCCTGTGCCCTTTCATTTATTTTGGAACAATTGTTTCTTTAATTTAATACACTTGGCTTTAGGAAGTGACTATTCAACCTAAAAGGTGTAAGCAAGTGTTTATTGTGATGGTTTATATATGGATTTTGTTTAAAACTTTTGTATAGCGCAAACTTTTATTTTGTTATTCCAGGTGTATTGGAGAAAGTAATTAAAAACATTATTGGAGACGTTAATACTTATAGTTTAGGTAGTTATAAAGTATATAATTATAACAAAAAAAATGATAATCTTATACATTTTTCATACGGTTTATAGCAGAATAGAAAATGAAATCCCACATCATTAATATACGCATTGTTAATTTCAGAAGCTATTTTGAATATGGTCGCTATACCGGGTAATTATTTTTAATGAATATATTGGAAATATTTCCCTACAGCCATTTGATATTTACTAAGTACATGAAGTTTTTTTAATTTTAGATACTCCATACCTTGGAAACTTCGAGGGTAACCACATAATTATATAACATATCTACAATATTTTACACTAATTCATTATATTTACATATTGTAGAGAATAATCATAATATGTATACATTGGTTTCAAAAGAAAAAGATATTGACAAATTAAAATATATTTTCTGTATTTTACAGAGAGTGCAACCAATCAAACAGTTTTGCGAGAAATAATAGAAAATGAATACAGTAAAAATATAATTTAACATTTTTAAGCGAAAAATCGTTTAAACCTCTAATTCCTTAATTTTGAAGAAAAACAATACAATTTAAGTGTTATCGTTTATTTTCGTTTTATGTTTAAGCCATTGTTAACCATTCGAAATGTAGTTTATCCCGTTAATTTATTAAAAAAATACTTTTTGAAAAAAATTAATATTATTACAATATCTTGCATCAATTATTTGATTCAATTAATCTCAGTTTTAGAGTGATTGTTATTTAATATATTTTATTTAATTGTTACAGATATTAAAGTTCCTCAAGTTCCAGAATCACGTAATTATTTATTTTTCTTTATTCGTAAATAGTGTTCATGGCTTGTTTAGAGTTGAAATATGCTTTGTTGTATTATTTAATGTCAAACAATTATTTAAATAAAATGAACTTTTAGTTAGAGATAGAGACTTCGTAGACATTTACAGTGCTATATTAAAAGTCCTGTTTGTAAATACATTCAGGGAAATCAGGGGGGTTGGATGCTATTGAAAATGTTATGAGGATTGAGTGAAGGTTCAGGACAAGGGTGACTGATCCCAAAGTGAAGATCAAAGTGAAGGATAAGAAGAAATAATCGTTGTGTATATTTAAGTATATATAAAAAAACACAGTTTAATTATTTATTATTTTTTATGTAAAATATTAAAAAAAAACTCATTTGAATAATTATTTTTCTTCTAGTGTTATGTAAAAATAATTTCATATAATATGCTAAAAATAATAATAATTATTATTGTTTACTATCGACACATTAATCTAATGAATTTTGCAGATTTTAGAAGATTAACTTTAAACAAACTTGGCGATCGAAGGAGAGCGCATACTAGACAAGCTTTAATAAATATATTCCACATGGATGTAGGTAAATATTAGTATAGAGTTGTAACGAGTTTTGACCATATATATATTTATGTATAAAAAAAAATGAATATTAATAGTTATATAATGTTCTTATTTTCGTCTCCAATCACTGAAACAACTACTAACACTCCTATTCTCTACAGTTTTATATCATAAGGAAATACTACAGTATTATTATTGTTAGTACACAATATCCGGTTACATAAAAAGCTGTACTTTTATAGTATTTGGCCAGTACTCACACATACCTACTTCCTTATAATAAAAATAGCTGCTCAATAAGGACACCGCATGTATTTCCTATTATTATTTTATTTGACAATTTAAAAAATAACATTTTTTAACTTTTTAAGTTGGATCCGAAGAGCTATTCACTGAATTATGGATATGCCGTTTAACAGCGTTGTTCGTGAGTACAAACTTCCCAACGAAATATATAAGACATATTGACACTGACACCGATGAGTGTACGACATCTGATGGTTTTGTAATTGAAACATACAGAAAAGTTGGAGGCGAATGGCGCTATTTCGTCGACAATAAGGACGTATCGAGTCTTGAAGCATTGTTTGTTTAATGATACATTTAAACTAATTATTAATATATTAAAATAATTTAGATAATTTACACCGGAATTCAACTATGTAACTCTTCTACACTGATATAGTACTATTTTAGTTTTATTTAAATAATATTTACATTATGCGCTAATATACAAGTTGTTATGTCACTATTTATTGTAATTTATAATAAACAGCTTTACTCATATAATCACATTTGTTACTTGTGTGTTGAAATAGTCACATGCTTATGTTTTTTACTTTATTATTTCACAGATCGAATTTAAGCATTTTTTTTTTTTAAATATATACATTTATCTATTATCTGCATAAAGTTAACAACGATAATATAAACTCTGAAACAAATTCAATACGAATACAATTATATAAAATAAAAAGCAAATAGATATTACATATCATTACTTATGTGAGATCTACCTCGTTAGGTTTAATCGTTGCTGCCTTATACACTTACGGTGCCCAAGTTTATATCTTAATAATTTTGTATTTAAGAAAAACAGCCTGTTTACTTCATATTGTATTTTTCCCACGTTTTTCAAGTCATAACTGATATAATACATTCTACTAGATAGCCGACTTCAATTTTTTTATACAAGTTTGGCAGCCATAAGCAGCGTGATCAATGTTTATCAATATTGCAATTATGCTATAATTAATACACCTTATAGTAATATATCTTATACTAAATGAACTTTATATCTAACAACCACAGTGAAATATTGGGAAAATAATGTAAACATTGACCACACTGCATATGGCCATCGAAATTAATTTTTGAGAAGAATTCTATTTCATTATACACAGATTCGCTTCGAAGCGTTTATTTTTTAAAATATAAACAAAAGAAGTTCTCTTAAAATAAGCTTAAACTAATGTACAGTATTTTTCTAAAAAACATTCCCTTTCCTTATACTTGACTACATTATTGTCTAAAGGTTTTTGACATTACTAAATTTACAAACACTATTACAAATAAACAATTTTTTTTTGTTCGATATTATTATCTAATAACTTAAATTAAATGTAGGTATAAAAATTGGTCACTAGGACCAGAACCCGAGAACAATGCCAAGATGATCGACTTCCTAAAATCAACCGACTTATATAACTTAATTTAAAAATTACACATTCTCTTTCTTGGCTCTTAACTATTAGAATACGCAAACTTAATGTATACCCATTGTAAATAACTTTTTTCCACCACATCTGTAACTAATGGCCATAGATGCCGGTTGTAAAATAATGATCAATAAAAAAAAAAAAAAAAAAAAATTGGCATGGCCGTTCTCCGCCAAAACCGTACCATAAAAAGTATTATAAATTAATAATAATTAGTTCAAACTAGCCGGTAAATTGCCTATTAAGAATTTAGCTTTACATCTACTCACAATTACCCAGGGAGCACAAAAACTCATAGATCTTTAGTACATTATTAAAAATCTTTTGAAGAATTGAAATATTTAAAAAAAAATTTCAGACATTTTAATTTTTGTGCATATTTTTTTACATTTCATTCGAATAGCAAAAAAAAAAATGTATTATATATACTGGTTTTATAAATTTTGTAAAATATTTTAGGTATGTATTGTTTTAATATTATTGAAAATAATTACTTAAATAAAATACACTCATAAACTATTTCAATATTATTCGAATTGCTCTTATTTAAATAATAATATGTTATTGTTACACCCCAGAAGTGAAATTTGCATTTCATGAAATGGACAAGTTAGTTACCCAATTCACAGAATGGGCAAAAATGTGTCCATTTCATGAACTGGACTTTAAAAATGAGAATGTCATGTCATGGCTTTAATTCCAGATAAACCCAGAGCTCTAAAACATAGCCATGTTAATATAGATAATCTATTTTCTCATAATTTAAATGGCTCTAATATTGTGGTTATCACACCAATTTAAAAATTATTTTCTCCTCATTTATGAAAAAGAGAAACTCTACGAAATGGCTATTATAATACTAATTATACATAATTTTTTGCAAAAATAAAAACCTAGTTTAGAGATGGGAAAGGCCACAATACCCATTCATGTTCCAGTGTTTTTCATTCGAGGGAAAGACAGTACTTGGTTGTTATTTTGTACTTAAAGTAACCGAACAAAATCCACCTTGAAATTATTCAGAAGCCTTTAACACCTGTGCATTATCTAATGAAAAGATATTTTTGTATATTCGCACAAAGGTAACGCTCATGTGTTTTTAGTTTAATACGAAAACCCGTCATTGTTTGAACAATACAAGTGCACAATATATTTCTGCTCATGTATTACAACTTAGATTGTACTTAAATCCCCTATCAACCCCCCGTCGCCTTCAGAATAGCCTATCAGGGACTAATCGTCATCATTATCGCCTGAAACAAATCCATGTTCAAATGTATGAGTTTTTGTTATAATAGCTTAGAAAATCGAAGGTTACACTAGTAATACATCATAAGTGTACAGTGTTATCGAATCAGATATACTATTTTAGGATTTGTTGTTACAGGTGTGTTAATAGTTATTTTTCCACTTCTATTTACAACTATATGTACCTATGAAATATGTTTAACTACGCATTGTTGTATTATTTTACTAAACAATCGCATTGAAATAAAATGTTACAAAAAAATTAAGATTCAACCTAGTCCCTTTAATTTTCCCCACAATTGATGCAACTCCTAGACTATCCTTTATATATACATTTTTAATTCTATCTTCCCTAGTCACTCCACTCGTCCATCTTAGCAATGTCATCTCCGCTACATTCATTCTCTGTTCATTTTTCTTGACAACTGCCCAATACTGCTCACTATTGTCCTGTGATATTTACCGTTCAATGTTACCCTAAGTACTTGCAACTACTAATCTCACACATTTCATCAGTCATCCATATGCATTACCTTTCTTGTCCTATACACTTAGTCAAAAATCAAACACGGTTGCAAAACAAAATAAACTGAATTTTTAATAAAATCCTGTGTACAATGTTATACAGACAATGACTATGTGTAAAATGTACAGGTAAAGATTTATATAATTATAAATTTGTAATTTTTACACGCTACATATGGAATTCCTAAAAACACAAAACAATAAAGAAAACAGCAGACGTCATCAATTTCTATATTTCAACGTATTTAAAAGGAATTGTATTATCTATTCAAATCGAAAACATTTATACATATCTGTTACTTTTTTTAAATTACTGCTTTTAAATCATTTACAACTTATAATATTATTTAGCTCGAATTTAGTTTTTTTTGTGTGTGTGAGTTCTTGTTTAGAAAACAAAAGGTCATACTAGCAGTTTATATGATAAGTCAACAGTGTTCTGGAATCAGATATACTTTTTTAGCATATTTTGTAGTCACAGATGTGTTAACTATTTCATTTGATTATTCTTAAAAGAAATTCATAGGAAATCACTGTATGTGTACTTTTCATGTTTGGTACACTTTGTCTTTTGTAAAATTTAATATCATTCGTATCAACTAGGTGTATTTATGAAAATTAGAAAAAAACTGCGACAACGCATACAATGAATACTCGCATGACAAAAAAATAATAGTATTGAAAAAAAAGTTTCTAAACCAAAGCATGAAAATAAAATGAACGGCGAAATGATTTGATGTTCAACCTATTCTCTCTCATTTTCCCCACAACTGATGCAACTCCTAAACAACTAATATATTATTATATTTTATTAGAGTTTTTTTGGTCGATGGTTCTCAATTGAAAATGTACCCAAAATTCAAATAGCTTTTGTCAAATTTTTTTATCGAGAAATCCCGAAATATTTATGCTTTTTGTACCGATAAAATTGAGTAGAAAATAATTTAGTGAAAATAATTTTATGTAAAACTCTTAAAAGAAAACGATTTAGAACTCCGCGACAGTGTAATGTAAATATGTAGCGAAATTGTGCATAAAATATACCAGCTGTGTAAACTAACATAAAGGCACACTGCAAAGTGTATGGCGATTTTACTGTTTAGTCGCATCAATAAAGTTGAACAAGCTGATAATTTTCTTAAAAGTTAAATAAATTGAATAATTTAAGTAAGTAACACTATCAAGCTCTGCAAGTTGTATGTAAGCTTGTAATAATATAATATAGGCAAAAGGTTATAATAAATGTATTTTAAATGCTTTTTTTAGATAAAAAATTGTCTTTTAGTTTTTGTTTCTCAAATACGTATTACGTCGAAGCTTTTTTATATTTTTAGTAACAAATTAAGTAAAGATAAAATTAGAGATAGGATTGTAAAAAATTGTTTATAAATTAATACAATTTTTTAAAAATTAATATTAATTGCGGGACATTTTACCACCTATTTAGATCCTCATTTTCTCGTTATTTTTCAGAGTGTTAACTAACGAGGGTTTTCTTATAAATGTTTTTTACCAAAACATAGCTTTAGTTTAAGTTTTATACATTTCATTATAGCTTCAAAGCCACATTAGTTCTATAAAATCGCATAACAATGTCATTTGGACAGCGTGCATTATTACATTTTTAATTTAATAACGTTTAGCTTAATATGTACTGTTAGAAAATATGTTTTTGTACATTTCGTAGTACTTATAGTTTATACCTTTAATTTTAATATTTTTATTTTTAACAGATATGAATTACTGTCTAAAAAGTCATCTTATGTTCATTATAACATGATATACGATTTTCATTTAAATAAATAACGGGTCGAGTAATAAACAGTATGACCAGTATGACAGTCCAATTTAGACACTTAAAAATTAGGTATAGTGAATGGTCCAAGCCCAAAATATTATATCCATATTAAAATCAATATAAAGGTCTGGAAAACATAGTGGGTTTAACAAAAAAAAAAATTTAATATTGATCAAATAACAAGCAGCTTTGTAATACCAACATCGTTTAATTTCGTAGCCAGGCAACTGTGACTAATATAAATTGCTTTAATGTTTATTATTATTTACAGATAAATATGAAACTTTTCTGTTTTTTGACATCATTAATCTTTGTAAACGTTTCGACGGATGATCCAAGTAACTATTTTATTTTCGCACTAACATATTTGAGGTAGGTAACAATTTCACTTTTTTTGCAGTGGATTATCAATTAAATACTGCCATTACAAGTCAGTAACATTTTTGTTTTATAAAAATAACCTTTTAAAATGTATTACTGTTTTTTACATATATTTTTAAACCGTGTATTACAGACGCATACGTTCAGCGAGCCTCTGAATTAAATATTGTAGAACCTGATTTTGTGGAAAGTAAGATATATTTCAAATGAATATACCTATATATTTTTGTAATGTTAAATTTGTTTGACTGTCGTGTAAGACAACTTATTTTTAAATTAAATAAACTATTTCTATAAATAGTGCACGAGGTATACCTAGAAGCAATGACCTAAAAACTATGTATTTTACGAAATTTAAAAATATTAAATAATTTTTATTTATATTTAATAAAATTGTTTCTAAAATTGAATACACTTTGCTTTAGGCAGTGACTATTCAACCTAATAGGAGGAGAAACGGGTTAAATAGTGATTTCTTTCATAAAGTTCAAGCCTTGTCGCTTTGTTGCAACATGATTTATATATTTATTTTGATTTTGCTTAAAACTGGTTGTATAGCTTAAACCTTTATTTGATTTTTCCAGATGGATTGGAGCAAGTAATTAAAAACATTATTATGGACGATAAAACGTTTAGTTTAGGTAGTTATAATATTAAATAATTATAAAAACAGTGAAAATAATAATTTAAAAAAATATTTAAAATGTATGTAAAATTGGCAAATCAAACTAATTTTATGCTAATGTAGAAGTGACATAATTTATACAATGCTTGTTAAAATCGACAAGGGATTTTTATGAGAGAAAAATTGATCCTAGCTCTGTCAGTCTCATCCAATAATTTTATATTATTCTAATATTTTATTTTTATAATTGTTTATCTATAATTCGTCTTAAAGTTCATAGTAGAATAGCAAAATTAAATCCAATATCATAAATGTATGCGATCATAATTTCAGGAGCTATTTTGAATCTGATCGCTATACCGGGTAATTATTTTCAATGAATATATTGGAAATATTTCCACACTTTCGTTTGATATTCACTAAGTACACAATGTGTTTGTATTTATTTCAGATACTCCATACCGTGGAAACTTCGAGGGTAACCACATATTTGTATTCCGTGTCTACAATACTTTACACTAATTAATTTTACACTCATGTGAATAATAATAATAATAATTTGTATACATTGGTTTCAAGAATAAGATATTGACAAATTACAATGTATTTTGTGTAATTTACAGAGAGTGCAGTCCATCAAATAGCTTTGCGAGAAATAATAAAAAATGATTACGGTAAGTATAAAATTTAACATTTTTAAGCGAAAATTGTTTAAATATTTAATTCCCCAATTTTTAAGAAAAACGTTAAAAACTAAATGTAATAATATTTTCGCTTTATGTTTATTGCATAAGCCTTTGTTAACCATTAGAAATCTGATTTAAACCGTTAATTCAAAAGTTGCTATTAGAAATAATTTAATGTTTTTACAACAATTTGCATTAATTATCTGGTTTATTTGTTCTCAGTTTTAGACTGATAGTTATTTATTATTTTATATAATTGTTACAGATATTCAAGTTCCTCCAGTTCCATCAAGTAATTACCAATTCTTATTTATTCTTAAATAGCGTTTAAGGCTTGTTTAAAATTGAAATATGCTTAATTTTGCTTAATTAAACTGTGAATATGTTCTCAAAAACATGATAAAATGAAACAAATTTGTTTTAAAATAAAATTATTTATATTAATTTCTTCCATTTAAGGTATGTCTATTTGAAAATAATCTACGATCACGATCGGTTCTTTGGATATATATTTCTTAATAGATTAAATATTACTAACAAAAATTGAAAATTGTCTATAGAGCTGTGTATTATTCAAATAAAAATGTATTAAATAGATGGTTTGGTTAAAATACTCGGGATTGAGATAGGAATCGAAAACAGTAAAAATGGTAATGATAATAAACTTGGCAGGAATAAAAGGAGGAAGAAAAATGAAATAAGGGGGATGGTTGTATGTCGTTGAAGTCTTCTTGAGTGAGAGTTTAGGACAAGAGTGACTGATCCAAAACAGCTGGGATCAATGAGAAGGATAAGAAGAAAACATTTTTGTGTATATTTAAATTTAAATAATAAATTATTATGATAAAACAAGATGATTATTTAATATTTTTTATGTAAAAAAAAAAAAAAACGAGAAAAACTTATTTGAATAATTATTATTGTTAAAGTATTATATAAAAAAAAATTATGTATACTAAAAATAATAATAACTATTATTATTGATATTATAATATTTTTTCAGATTATACACCATTACCTTTGAACGACCTTGGTGATGAAAGGAGAAAACATACTTTACAAGCTTTATTGAATATTGCCTCCCGGGTTATAGGTGAATAATAGTATAGAGTTGTAATGGGATTTGACTATACATATATATTTATTATGGTAAGCTAAGTTTGGCAAATTGAATAAAAAAATTTTTTATTTTTTTTCTAGTTGGATCCGAAGCGCAAGTATCTTCATTGTGGCTATGCCGTTTTATAGCAATGTTCATGAGTACTAAATTCCCAATGGCATACATAAGAGATATTCAGACTGGCCCCAATGTGTGTTTCACCTATGATGGGGTTGCAGTCGATACATACAGAAAAGTGGGGGGCGAGTGGCGTCATTTCGTCGGCGATATTAATTTTTCCAGCATTAAAGATATGTTTGTTTCATTTAGCTGATTTACATCAGCCTTCAATTATGTAACTACTATCTAGTACCACTGTTGTTTTGTTTAAATAATATTTACATAATGCACTGTTATCCGAGTTGTTAGTTCACAAACGATTGCAGTTTTTAATAAACAACTTTACCCACGATTATAAATCACATTTGTTGCTGTTGTGTTGATTTAAACACATACCTACTAATATTTTCATAAGCTAACATAAACAATGTACATTACTAGCTTGCGGTACCCTAACCTATATATTTCTTAATAATTTTACAATTATTGAAGTGTAATAAAAATAAAACTCGGGGCACAAATTATTAACAAACCCCAGATAAAATATCAACTGTATTTTTTAATAAATGTAAATTTATCCTAGCTATCTTCTTACTACTCCTATTAATTAATATATATTTATCATCAGGGATCTTTCCAGACCAATGAAAGGTTAGCTATGTATCATCATTTTCCAAGGGCAATAATATTAGACAAAATAACAAACAATCGTCCAATCTCAATAATTATTTCAATAATTCCAAAAACAATCGAAAGTATTGTATCTATAATAATAAATTCCATTATTTAAAAACATTATTGTTGCTGAACAACATGGCTTTATATCCGGTAGACCTACAGCCAGTAATCTTTTAATATTCCAACATTATATCTTGGATGCGTTTAAATCTCGCCAAGTGTGTTAATGGTTTTTTTTAAACTTCTACGTACAACTTCGTTTTGAAATAAAATATTCTTTTTTAACAAAAAAAATTGAGATTCAACCTAGTCACTTAAATTTTCCCCGTAATTTATGGAACTCTTAAAGTCTCTATTATATATAAATTTCTTATTCTAACCCCTCTAGTCACTCCACTCGTCCATCTTAGCAATGTCATCTCCGCTACATTCGTTCTCTGTTCAGTTTTCTGTCTACTGCCCAAAACTGCACACTATCGTCCTATGATATTTACCGTTCAATTTTATCCTAAGTACTTGCAACTACTATCTCACACATTTCGTCATCATTAATCTGCATTACCTTTCTTGTTCTATAACTTGGTCGAATATGGAAAAACAATTGCAAAACAAAAGAAAAATTGCATTTTTAATAAAATCCTATGTACAATGTTATACAGACAATGACTATGTGTAAAATGTACAGGTAAAGATTTATATAATTGTAAATTTGTAATTTTTACACGCTACATAATATGAAATTTCTAAAATCACAAAGAATAAAAAAAACAGTAGGCGTCAACAATTTCTATATTTCAACGTATTTAAAAGAAATTTTAATACCTTTTCAAATCGAAAACTCGATACAGGCTGATCCATTTATCGCGAACCACTCAATATCTCATAGGGTTTAATAAAAAAATAAAATCATTTTTTTTCATATTGATTTTTTACAATGTGATCTCAATTTTTCACAATTTTGTTTTTACCCACCTCTCAACTTAGTTTTTTTTGATAGCAACTTCTAAAACTTTAATGGTAACGTACATATTTTAATAAACTTTTTAAATTGAGAATAATGTACTAAAAATGTTGACTGGTCGATAACCAGTTTCGGATAACTATATTTAAAGTTATAATAGTTTTAAAGTCATGATGAGAGGGGAAGTGCGGTTGGGAAATGAGCGCAGATAAAAATATTACTACACTCTACCTTTCCTCCTGCCCTAAACTTGAAATTTGTGAGATATTGAGTGGTTCACGATAAGTGGATCACCCTGTATAACTGTTAGTTTTTTTATGTTACTACTTTTAAATCATTTTCTACTTATAATATTATTTAACTCGAGTTTAGTTTGTGTGTGTGTGTGTGTGTGTGTGTGTGTGTGTGTGTGTGAGTTCTTGTTTTAATAGCTTAGAAAATCGTATTGGAAAAAAATTCTTTAAACGAACGCATGAAAATTAAATGCAACACAAAATTTGATATTCAACTTATTCTCTGTTATTTTCCCCAAAATGCATGCTACTATTAGACTCCCCTTTGTGGTTTAATTTCTATTAATATATTATTTTATTTTATTACAGTTTTTTTAATTTATATTACATATTATACTAGAAAATTCTCATTTGTCTGGTTTAAATATTCAGTCGATGGTTCTCAATTCAAAATGTATACAAAATATAGTGCAAATAATTCTATGTAAAACATTGAAAAAAAAACAATTTAAAAATCCGCAACAGTGTAGTGTAAATAAGTAGTCATATTGTGCAAAAAGCAACCAGCTATGTAAACTAACATAAAGGCACACAGCAAAGTATAATCCTATTCAACTGTTTCGTTCGTTATAAGTCCATAGACAAGAGACAAGAAAGACGCATCGATACAGTTGAACAAGCTGGTCTTTTTCTTAAAAGTTTTTTCAATTCAATAATTTAAGTAAGTAACGCAATTAATCTTTAACAGTTGTATGTAGGCTTGTAATCACATAATATAGACACATTTCTATAACGCATTTAATATTAATGCTTATTTTAAATACAAAAATGTATTTTATTTTTTGTTTCTTAAAAGCATAATATAACGTCCAAGCTATTTTATATTTTGATTATTAAAATTAAGTAAAAATAAACCTATAAATAGGTTTGTAAAAAATTGTTTTTTAAATTAATAAAATTTTAGAAAAAATAAATGTTAATTACGAGACATTTTACCACCTATTTAGATTAATTTTCTTGTTATTTTTCAGAGTGTAAAAATAACAACGTTTTTCTTATAATTTTTTTATCAAATCATAGCTATAATTTAAAATTTATACAGTTCATTATAGCTTTCGTGATAGTTAAAGTTTATACCTCTAGTTTAAAGATTTTGTTTTTAAACAGATATGAATAACTTTCTGAAAACTTATCCTATGTTGATTATAACAGTATATATTATTTTAGTTTAAATCTATAACGGGTCAAGTAATAAGCAGTATGACTTGTCAAGTTTAGACGCTTAGGTATACTAAAATATATTAAAAGTTAAATCCGATAAAATTAATTAAGAAAACGATAATTATTTAGTTAAATCGTTTTTTTTAATTTTTTACTAGTGTAATTCAACTATTATACATACAGAATTTTAAACAGTTAACATATCTATATTAGGATTTACTAACCACAATTTTGGTCCATTAAAGTAGCCTTTAAGTACGATTTGTGCCTCTAAAAAAACAGCTATTATCCTTTAATCCTTACCAAAATTAATGGAAAATATTTAAATCATGAATATGTTTTTTGGCCGTAAGAGAGCATATCCACATCTTGGTGTGCAACACAGCTGGTGTCCTATGCTGATGTCCCTTTCCACGTTTACCCTCCCAGCCATCTATCTACAATAACTTTCCTCTATTTGGAACCGTAGTGACGCTAATATTATTAGTGAATGGTCCAAGCCCAAAATATTATATACATGTTATAATCAATTTAAGGGTCTGGAAAGTATCGTGGGTTTAATAAAAAAAAAACTGCATTGTGTACTAAAACTTTTTAATCTGGCAACTAACATAAATTGCTTTTATATTTGTTACAGATATGAAACTTTTCTGTTTTTTGACATCTTTAATCTTTGTAAACGTTTCGACGGATGATCAAAGTAACTATTTTATTTTCGCAATAACATATTTGAGGTAGGTAACAAAATCACTATTTTTTTTTACAGTGGATTATCAAGCAAATACTGCCATTACAAGTCAGTAACAATTTTGTTTTATAAAAATAACGATTTAAAACTTTACTGTTTTTATACATATATTTTTAATTGTGTACTATAGACGCATACGTTCATCAAGCATTCGAAAAAAAAATTGTAGGACCTGATTTTGCAGAAAGTAAGATGTTATTAAAATTAATTTACCAATATTGTATTATTTTTATGTTATATTTGTTTGCCTGTCGAGTCACACAACTTACTTTAAAATGAAATAAACTGTTTCTATAAACAGTTCAGAAAAGTGCACGAGGTATATCTAGAAGCAATGATCTAAAAACTATATATATTACTAAAATTATACATATCAAATAGTTTATAATTATATTTAATATAATGTTTCTATAATTTAATGCACTTGGCTTTAAGCAGTGACCATTGAACCTAGTAGGAGGAGTAGCAGTGGGTTAAAATAGTCATTACATTAACAAGGTGCAATCCTTATTGCCTTGTTGCAAAATGAATTATGTATTTATTTTGATTTTGTTTAAAACTTTTTATATAGCTTAAACCTTTTTTTGGTTATTCTAGGTGGACTGGAGCAAGTAATTAAAAACATCATTGGGGACGATATTACTTATGGTTTAGGTAGTTATAGTATTATATAATTATAAAACAATACAAATAATAATAGAAAAAAATATTTAAAATTTATATAAAATTTGCAAATTAAATAAATTTTATGCCAATGTAGAAGTGATATAAATTATACTATTCTTATTAGAAACGACAAAGAATTTTTATGAGAAAAAAATTATCCAAGCTCTGTCAGTCTCATCTAATAATTTTATTTGATTCTAATATTTTATTTTCAAAATTGTTTATTTATTCAGTAAATTCGAGCCGAGCCCATTTCTTCCAAGTTACTATACACCCTTGTTTTTTTCTATCCTATAATTCTTCTTACGGTTTATAGAAGAATAGAAAATTAAATCCAACATCATTAATGTATGCATTGTTAATTTCAGGAGCTATTTTGAATATGATCGCTATACCGGGTAATAATTTTCAATAAATATATTGGAAATATGTCCACACAATCGTATGATAATCACTAAGTACATAATATTTTTGTGTTAATTTCAGATACTCCATACAAAGAAGACTTTGAGGGTAACCACATATTTTTATACCTTATAAACAATACTTAACACTAATTATTTACATACGCATGTGTAGTATAATCATTGGTTTCAAGTATAAGATGTTGACAAATAAAAATGTATTTTGTGTAATTTGTAGAAAGTGCAAGAAACCAAACAGCTTTACGAGAAAAAATACAAAGTGAATTAGGTGAATATGAAATTTAACATTTTTAAACGAAAATTGTTAAAAAATTTAATTCCCCAATTTTTAAGAAAAACGATTAAAATTAAATGAATAATAGTTTCGCTTTATATTTATTGCATAAGCATTTGTAGACCATTCGAAATCAAACTTAGACAGTTCCATCAAAAGTTGCCATTAGTAATAATTTAATGTGCTTACAATATTTAGCGTTAATTATTTGGTCTAATAAATATCAGTTTTAGAGTGATAGAGAGTTATTTAATATATTTGTTACAGATATTCAACTTCCTCCAGTTCCATCAGGTAATTACCAATTTTTCTTTATTTGTAAATAGCGTTTAAGGCTTGTTTAGAGCTGAAATGTACTTAATTTTGTCGTTGGATGCTATTGAGAATGTTATGAGGACTTGTGAAGCATGCGAAAATGTTGTTGAAGGCCTCTCGAGTGAAGGTTTAGGACAAGGGTGACTGATCCAAAATAGCTGTGATCAATGCGAAGGATAAGAAGAAAAAATCATTGTGTATACATTTAAATATAAATGAAAAATAAATAAATTCTGCTTAAATAGTATGATTATTTATAATTTTTTATGAAAAAATTAATGAGAAAACTTATTTGAATATTGTTAAAGTGTTGTATAAAAATAATTGTATGTATAATAACAATAATAATAACTATTATTATTAATATTATAATATTATTTTTTTTTTCTACTGAGTCATTTAATATTTTTTTCAGGTCTTACACCATTACCTTTGAAAGAGCTTGGAATACGAAGGAGAAAATATACCATACAAGCTTTAAGGAATATATTCTCTCAGGTCGTAGGTGAATAACAGTATAGACTTCTTTTGCTTACTCACTACAGTTTTATACCTTAAGGAAATACTCCAGTATTATTGTAGATACACAATATCCGGTTACACAAAATATTTACAATTGTTCCCAAAATATGTGTAATTTATAGGCATCTTGTATTAAGATTAATTTATATTATCATTTTTACGCCCAAATTTAATACTGTTTTACTGTGTTAAAATTAGACAACACTCGCACACACAAATAATGAAAAATCAAATTTTTAAATTTTTTTTAGAAGCGCAATTATCTCCATTATGGTTATGCCGTTTGACAGCGTTGTTCGTGAGCACAAAATTCCCAATGGCATACATAAGAGATATTCAGACTGGCCCCAATGTGTGTTTCACCTATGATGGGGTTGCAGCCGATGCATACAGAAAAATTGGGGGCGAGTGGCGTCATTTCGTCGGCGATATTAATTTGTCCAGCATTAAGGATGTGTTTGTTTAATTTAGATAATTTACATCAGCATTCAATTATGTAACTACTATCTAGTACCACTGTTGTTTTATTTAAATAATATTTACATTATGCACTAATATCCGAGTTGTTAATTCACAAATGATTGCAGTTTTTAATAAACAACTTTACCCACGATTATAATCACATTTGTTGCTTATGTGTCGATTCAAACACATACCTACTTATATTTTTAAAAGATAACATAAAATATGTACATTACTAACTGGCGGTACCTTAATTTATATTTTTCTTAATCGTTTTAAATAAATTGAAGTGTAATAAAAAAAGAAACATTAGAACGAGACAGTGTACAGCCGCCAGAGAAAATAATTAAATTGCAAGATAACCGAGATGAAGGTCGGAGTGAAATGTCTCCGTCATGTGCTGTTCATGTACAGTACATAATTTAATAGTTTTTTTTCATCATCATCAATCGTTCAAATTATTTAATTTTAATTTTCCCCTCTGTTTATACATTTTTGTTATTTTGATAAATACTATAATGCTTTATACATATTAGAATAGACTATACTACACTTTGAACTACAACAAATCACTTAGATACACTGCACACATGCGACCACCCTAAAGGAAGGGTAGTGTGAAGTACTATTTGTTAGTCTAATGAAAGAAACCCATCGGCATGCTTATCGGTGAATTAACCAACTTTCAAACAAACGTTTCGCTGTGTATCTGTGGACACTGTACCAGAATGAATATTTTGTAATCACAGATGTGTTAACTAAATTCCATTTAATTATTCTTAATAGAAAATGTATTAAACTTTTCATAAATCCCGTGCAAAATATACAGAACATCACTATATGTGTACTTTTCATATACTATTCATTGGTATCAACTATGTGTATTTATGAAAATTTGTAATATTTGAGCAATCCCAAAATATTTATGTTTTCTGTACCGATAAAATGAAATAGAAAATAATTTAGTGAAAGTCATTTTTATGTAAAACATTGAAAAAAAAACAACTCAGATATCCGCGACAGTTTAATATGTAAATATGTAGTCATATTGTGCAAAAAATACACCAGCTATGTAACCGAACATAAAGGCACACAGCAAAGTATAATCCGAATTTATTGTTTCGTTGGTTATAAGTCCGTAGACAAGAGACAAGAATAAGAAAGTCGCATCAATACAGTTGAACAAGCTGGTATTTTTCCTAAAAGTTTTTTTCAAGTTAATAATTTAAGTAAGTAACGCAATTAATCTTTAACAGTTGTATGTAGGCTTGTAATCATACAATAAAGACACATTTCAATGATTAAATGATTACACATTTAATATAAGGTGCACAAATATTTTAGTCAGCAATTAAAATTTTAAAGTCAGCATCTTCATTTTGACCCCCCCCCCCTCCTTGCATATTTCTTAGCGCCTAAGAATGGACTTATAGTTCACCAACGGGTAAAGAGCTCTCATTGTAGCGTAGCCTTGATTTAGTTTTTTTGTTTATATCTGCTTTCCAGGTGAGCTTTTCACCTTGAAAAACCCCTAGTTGCTTGACAACGGTATCATCCTTCTTGTTCCAGTTAATTGTTTCGTTGTCTATTTCAATACAGATTGGATATTGTTGTAGCTTTTTAGTGTAAATATTTTGGCTTCAGTTTTGCTGGGATTTAAGTTTAGTTTGCACTTCTTAAACCATGTAGTGATTTCGTTTAGTGAGCTTTGAAGTTGCGGTGAATAGCTGAGTCGAGAGATTTGTCTTGTGTCATCGACAAACATAGCTAGTTGCGAATTTGTCTGTATTGGGATGTCATGACAGTATAGGTTAAATGTTGTAGGACCCAAGACTGATGACCCTAGGGGAACTCCAGCTTTCACGGGGTAAGATTTTAGATACATCTGTTACAACTGTTACTCGGAAAGATCTGTTTAAGATAAAAAGAATCTAGGATTTTGAATATGTACGCGCTGGAAGGTGTATACAGTCAGAGAGCGAGAGTTGTGGGAAAAAAACCTGACTGACCAACCGCACATTGGAAGTGGATTGGCTTAAATGAGATTTATATAAGAACAGTTCAGGGTACGAATATTAATCCCACATAGTTTAAATTGAAAAGTTATTGTTGTTTTCAAAGTATTTTTCAGACCGTTAGTGTGTGCTAAATTCTGAATTTGTAAAATTGTTTGTGCGCTTGTGTGTTGATTTAGAGACCGGTTTTTGTGTGGGCTTTTAATCGTATTTTGTTATTTGACTTCGATACGAAGCCGAGCAAAATAAATTGCTAAAAACAATGATGAATGGTTGTGTGTAATTTACACACGGTACTTCAAGGTCTTTTATATACTGGCATTATCGTAGTATGAAAAATCTGGGTACATAGACCATATTGTTAAGTGTTTTTTTTATTTAAAATTGTATTTCACGTCAGTACAAATTTTAGGTGTAAATAGAACGCAATAAAATATATTAACAACGGAGAATCAATGTATAAAACAAAAAACCAGAAAAAAACTTGAGCAAACTATGGTTATATCTAATATAGAAATTATTCTTTATCGTATAAAACAAAGCTTAACACATTATCGTTTAAAGTTTTTTTGCGATTTTTTTCTGTACAAGCTGTCCGAATCCGGCGTTGCCCGGGATTTAGTTTGCCAGGACTGAGTAAAATAATTCCCATTCCCATCTCCATCCCTAACCCCATCCCTCATCACTAATCACATATCTCTTATCAAATAACAGCGTGACACATTTTTCGGTTGTTATGTCCTTTTGTTAATTATTTAACAGTATATATTATTTTAATTTAAATCTATAACGGGTGAAGTAATAAGCAGTATGACTTGTCAAGTTTAGACGCTTAGGTATACTAAAAGATATTAAAAGTGAAATCCGATAAAATTAAATAAAAAAACGATAATTATTTAGTTAAACCGCTTTTTTTTACTTTTAAATAGTGTTATCCAACTATTTTACATACAGAATTTTAAACAGTTAACAGATATTTATTAGGATTCACTAATCACAATTTTGGTCCTGAAAAGTAGCCTTCGAGTACAAACAGCTATTATCTTTAACATTACCTTACAAAAATTAATGGAAAATATTTAAATCATGGATATGTATTTTGGCCGTAAGAGAGCATACCCACAACTTAATATAAATTGCATTTATGTTTGTTATTATTTACAGGTATGAAACTTTACTTTTTTTTAATATCATTAATCTTTGTAAGCGTTTCGACGGATGATTCAAGTAACTATTTTATTTTCATACTAACATATTTGAGGTAGGTAACAATTTCACTATTTTTTTTTACAGTGGATTATCAATTAAGTACTGCCATTACAAGTCAGTAACATTTTTGTTTTATAAAAATAACCTTTTGAAATGTATTACTGTTTTTCACATACATCTTTTAATTGTGTAATACAGATGCATACGTTCATCAAGCCTCCGAATTAAATATTGTAGAATCTGATTTTGTGGAAAGTAAGATGTATTTGAAATTAATTTACCAATATTGTATTATTGTTATGTTATATGTGTTTGACTGTCAAGTCAGATAACTTTTTTTTTAAATTAAATAAACAGTCCAGAAAAGTGCACGAGGTATACCTAGAAGCAATGATCTAAAAACTATATATTTTGTTAAATTTATAAATATCAAATAGTTTATGTTTATATATAGTGTAATATTTCTATAGTTTAATACACTTGGCTGTAGGCAATGACTATACAACTTAATATGAGGAGAAGCGGTGGGTTAAATAGTCACTAATTAAAACAAGGTGCAAGCCTTGTTGATTGCAAAAAGTTGTTTATTCTGAGGATTTATGTATTTTGTTAAAAACTGGTTGTATACCTAGCTTAAACTTTTTTTTGGTTATTCTAGGTGGATTGGAGCAAGTAATTAAAAACATCATTGGGGACGATATTACTTATGGTTTAGGTAGTTATAGTATTATATAATTATAAAAACAATAATAAAAAAAAATATTTAAAATTTATATAAAATTTGCAAATTAAATAAATTTTATGCCAATGTAGAAGTGATATAAATTATACAATTCTTATTAGAAACGACAAAGAATTTTTATGAGAAAAAAATGATCCTAGCTCTGTCAGTCTCATCTAATAATTTTATTTGATTCTAATATTTTATTTTCAAAATTGTTCATTTATTCAGTAAATTCGAGCCGAGCCCATTTCTTCCAATTTACTTTAACACCCATGTTTTTTTCTATCCTATAATTCTTCTTACAGTTTATAGAAGAATAGAAAATTAAATCCAACATCATTAATGTATGCATTGTTAATTTCAGGAGCTATTTTGAATATGATCGCTATACCGGGTAATAATTTTCAATAACTATATTGGAAATATGTCCACACAATCGTATGATAATCACTAAGTACATAATGTTTTTGTGTTAATTTCAGATACTCCATACAAAGAAGACATTGAAGGTAACCGCATATTTTTATACCTTATAAACAATACTTTACACTAATTAATTATGTACACATGTGTAGAATAATCATTGGTTTCAAGTATAAGATGTTGACAAATAAAAATGTATTTTGTGTAATTTGTAGAAAGTGCAAGAAACCAAACAGCTTTACGAGAAAAAATACAAAGTGAATTAGGTACATATAAAGATTAACATTTTTAAACGAAAATAGTTTAAATATTTAATTCCCCAATGTTTAAGAAAAACTATTAAAATTAAATGTTATAATATTTTCGCTTTCTATTTATTGCATAAGCATTTGTAGACCATTCGAAATCGAACTTAAACCGTCCCATCAAAAGTTGCTATTAGTAATAATTTAATGTGCTTACAATATTTAGCATTAATTATTTGGTCTATAATATCAGTTTAGAGTGATAGAGAGTTATTTAATATATTTGTTACAGATATTCAACTTCTTACAGTTCCATCGGGTAATTACCAATTTTTCTTCATTTGTATAAAGCGTTTAAGGCTTGAAATATGCTTAATTTTGTGGTTGGATGCTATTGAGAATGTTATGAGGACTTGTGGAGCATGCGAAAATGTTGCTGAAGTCTTCTCGAGTGAAGGTTTAGGACAAGGGTGACTGATTCAAAATAGCTGTGATCGATGCGAAGGATAAGAAGAAAAAGTCATTGTGTATATATTTATAAAAAAATAAATTAATTATGCTAAAATAGTATGATTATTTATAATTTTTTATGAAAAAATTAATGAGAAAACTTATTTGAATATTGTTAAAGTGTTGTATAAAAATAATTGTATGTATAATAACAATAATAATAACTATTATTATTAATATTATAATATTATTTTTTTTTTCTACTGAGTCATTTATTATTTTTTTCAGGTCTTGCACCATTACCTTTGAAAGAGCTTGGAATACGAAGGAGAAAATATACCATACAAGCTTTAAGGAATATATTCTCCCAGGTCGAAGGTGAATATCAGTATACATATATTTTCCTTACTGTCTACAGTTTAATATCATAAGGAAATACTCCAGTATTATTGTAGATACACAATATCCGGTTACACAAAATGTTAACTATTATTCCAAAAATATGTGTACTTTATAGACATCCACATCTTGTATTAAGATTAAATTATATTATCATTTTTACGCCCAAATTTAATACTGTTTTACTGTGTTAAAATTAGACAACACTCGCACACACAAATAATGAAAAATCAAATTTTTAAATTTTTTTTAGAAGCGCAATTATCTCCATTATGGTTATGCCGTTTGACAGCGTTGTTCGTGAGTACAAAATTCCCAATGGCATACATAAGAGATATTCGGACTGGCCCAAATGTGTGTTTCACCTATGATGGGGTTGCAGTCGATGCATACAGAAAAGTTGGGGGCGAGTGGCGTCATTTCGTCGGCGATATTAATTTGTCCAGCATTAAGGATGTGTTTGTTTAATTTAGATAATTTACATCAGCATTTAATTATGTAACTACTATCTAGTACCACTGTTGTTTTATTTCAATACTATTAGCATTATGCACTAATATACAATTTGTCATGTCACTAATTATTGTAAATTATAATAAACAACTTTACTAACGATTATAAACACATTTGTTGCTGTTGTGTTGATTTACACACATATCTGCTTATATTTTTACCATATTATTTTACAGACAGAATTGAAGCATTTTAGAAAATGTATAAATGTATCCATTATCTGCATAATATTTTAACAACGATAATATAAACTCCGAGGCACATTCAATATGAACACAATTATATGAAATAAAACGCAAATAGATATTACATACCATCTATATGCGATCTACCTCTCGAGGTCTAATCGTTGCTGCCTAATACACTCACGGTGCCCAAGTTAATGTCTGCAATCTACTCATATGCTGTATGGTCAATGGTTTTTTTTTTGGGTCTTTTTTTATAATAATTGCTATTTATTTAAATTGGAAAAAAACCTCTCTAATTGAGAATTATTCTTAATAATCTTAAAGTATTATTTCCAAACAACTTCCATTTTGCTTGACAACATTATTGTCTATAGGTTATTGAGATTAATTAAATTTGTAAACATTGTTACAAATAAAACTTTTTTTTTTTTTTTGTTAGATTTTTTTTTTCTAACGACATTAATAACACGTAAGTATAAAAATTATAGGCGTTTTATATAGGCAACATTTAAGAAAAATGAGATTTTAATAAATTTCGACAACGTCAATTATTTAAAAATAGTTAAATAATATATTTGTAAATTATTCGAATAGCTCTTACTTAAAAAATAATAATATGTTGTTATGATGACTATTTAGATAACGTTTTAATCGAATGATGCACGACTTTGTTTTTGAATAGTTCAAAATACTAATATGTATTATGTAGTGTTCACTAAAGGGGGCTCCATACAGACCATTTTTTCAGTCAAAACACATCATTTTCATTCCATCGCACAGGCCTAATCAGTGATCCGATAAGCAATCTAAAAACAGATTTGAATTTGTCATGAAGTTTACTTAGGATCGGTCGAAGTACTTTTTTCAATTTTCAATTTTACCACTTTCTAAATTTTATTTTAAAATGTTGAAATTGTATAACATGTGCAAACGTGTTTTATACATAGTAGGAATAAGATATCAAAAAAGTACTGCGACCGATCTCAAGTAAATTTCATGATAAATTCAAATCAGTTTTTATACTACTTATCGGATCACTGGTTGAGCCTGTGCGATGGAACAAAAAATGTATGTTATTCCTATTGACTAAAATGGCTTTTACTCATAGACAAAATGATTTAAATTAAAAATAATACCTTGAAGCTTATGCAAATTAACCGGTTAATTTATTGACATGGTCGAAATTTATTTAAGCCAATTTTTTCTTAAATATTGCCTATACAAAACTCCTTAAAAATGGTCTGTATGGAGCTCCCTTTAGTATAGTTTTTTTATGATAATTAATAGTACAATAGCAGCATAATAAAAAATAAATTGTAAATCAGTAGTAGGTACTTTCCACCTAGGGAACAAATTTATTTAGAAAATCCAAGATATGAATAAAACAAAGTATTGTTTTTTGAACTGGGAATGTTTCTTATGTAAAAATAAGCTAACCGAATACTTATTTTTGGCGATTCTCTTTCTCTCTTTAATAGCGCATTAAACTGTTGTGATCTAGCGATAGAGATATAAGGATGTTTATTGTAATTCTTGAACACCATTTTTGTAAGTTTATTTGAGAGAGCGTCGCACCGCCCATTTTTAAGGAGTATAGTATAGGCAATTTTTTACAAAATCTGTGTTGAACTGTGATGTATAATTATTAGTTCAATAACTAGAACTCTATTTCGGTACTCGATTTATTTTTTGGACTATCATAGTATTCTTGAAAGCGATTTAAAAATTATTTTTCATCTCTACAATATGTTGAAGCAGACTGAAAATAAATCGCTTAATTTTGGTTTTAGTGTAAAAGCACACATTAAAAAATTAAAAGAGAACAATATTCCGGAGGACAAGACACTAGCAATTTATATGGTGAGTAGGCAATGTTCACGAATCAGACATACTCGCTTAGGAATTATTGTCACAGGTGTGTTAGTTATTCCATTTGATTATTCTTAAAAGAAATACATAGGAAATCACTGTATGTGTACTTTTCACGTTCGGTACGCGTTGTCTTTTGTAAAATTTAACATCATTCGTATCAGCTATGTGGATTTATGAAAATTACAAAAAAAAAAATGAGGCAACGCGTTTTACAATACCCGGGTGACAAAAAAATAATAGTATTGAAAAAAAAGTTTTCAAACCAAAGCATGAAAATAAAATGAACGGCAAAATGATTTGATGTTCATCCTATTCTCTCTCATTTTCCCCACAACTGATGCAACTCCTAGACGAACTAATATGTTATTTTATTTTTAAAGTTTTTAGATGGTTCTCAAATGTATACAACATTCAAATAGCTTTTGTCAAATTTTGGTAATCGAGCAATCCCAAAATATTTATGATTTTTGTACCGATAAAATTGAATAGTAAATAATTTAGTGAAAATTATTTTTTGTGAAACACTTAAAAGAAAACAATTTAGAACTCCGCGACAGTGTAATGTAAATAACAAGTAGTCATATTGTGCAAAAAATATATCAGCTGTGTTAACTAACATAAAGGCACGCTGCAAAGTGTATGGCGATTTTACTGTTTAGTCGCATCAATTAAGTTGAACAAGCTGATAATTTTCTTAAAAGTTAAATAAATTGAATAATTTAAGTAAGTAACACTATCAAGCTTTCTTAAAACTGGTATGTACGCTTGTAACCATATAATATAGGCAAAAGATTATAATAAATGTATTTTAAATGCTTATTTTAGACACAAAATTGTATTTAATTTTTTGTTTCATAATAACATGTCTAAGCTATTTTATACTTTTAAACACTGTTTTTTTAAACAGAAAACTAACTTTTTTCAATAACTATTTTACCAATTATTTCGTTATCGAATAGCGAAATCCAATGAAAATAATTGAAAAAACGTTAATTAAATCGCTTTTTTTTATATATAAATAGTGTAATCTGACTTTTTTACACAATATTGTTTTTAAACAGTTAACAGAGACCTCTTTTAGATTTCCTTTAGAAATAAATCCAACTACCTTTTTTGTGCATCTCTATTAGAATTGACTAATCACATAATATTTGGTCCTGTAAAATAGCTTTGGAGTACGATTTGTGTCTTTAAAAAAACAGCAATTTTTTTTTGAAGTTTTAACCTTATCTTACCTAACCGAACGGAATATAATTGAACCATGGCTATGTTTTTGGGCATTTAATGAGCATACCGACATTTTGCACATATGGTGTCTTATACTCATGTCCCTTCCCACCTCTGCCCTTTCCTCTCTTTATCTACAATAATATTTATCAAACAACCAACAGCCTTTAATCTCACACCTTTTAACTTTGTAGCCAGGCAACTGTAATACTAATATAAATGGCTAACATGAATGGTGCAGGGAAAAAACCAGCAAAGTCACTTTTTTCTAATCTAAGAAAAGCACGTTTAAGTAATGCAAAAATATGTTTTGTAATGTTAAAGAAATACTTAAAACTTTAAAAAATATTATATATTTTTGTTTATAATCCATTGCCATTTTTAAAAAGTGATTTTGCTGGTTTTTTCCCTGTACCCTTCATATGTTTATTGTTATTATTTACAGATAAATATGAAACTTTTCTGTTTTATGACATCATTAATCATTGTAAACGTTTCGTCAGATGAACCAAGTAAGTATTTTACTTCACAAGCTTACATGAAGGGCACAGGGGAAAAACGGTAGTAGTCACATTATGAACATTTTAGAGTATAGCAAAAACAAAGTCAGTGAATTCCTGTTCCTTTTATTTATGAACAAACCAAATCACATTGAATGCTATTCTAATAAAAAATGTATTTATTTAAACAATTATATTAACATAAAAAACAATATTAATGGCATAAACTGAAAAAACTATTTGAAAAAAAAAATTTTCATAATGTGACTACTACCGTTTTTCCCCTGTGCCCTTCACATATTATTTGAGGTAGGTAATAATTTCACTTTTTTTTACAGTGGATTATCAAACAAATATGGCCATTACAAGTCAGTAACATTTTTATTTTATAAAAATAGTGATTTAAAATTTTTTATAACTGTTTTCTACTATTGTATTTTTTTTTAATTGTGTGTTACAGACGCATACGTTAAGCAAGCCTCCGAATTTAATGTGTTAGGACCTAATTTTGTGGAAAGTAAGATATATTTAAAATCAATATATTATTGTTATGTTATATTTGTTTGACTGTCGAGTCAGACAATTTATTTATAAAATAAATAAATAGTTTCAATAAACAGTTCAGAAAAGTGCACGTGGTATATAGAACCACGTCATCCGCCATATAGAACCAATCATCTAAACACTGTGTGTTTTACTAAATGTATAGACATTAAATAATTTATATTTATATTTAAAATAATGTTTCTATAATTTAATACAATTGGCTTTAGGCGTTGACTATTCATCCTGATAGAGGAGGTAGTGGTGGATTAAATGTCATTACTTAAAGCAAGGTGCCAGCCTTGTTGCTTTGTTGCCTTCTTGCAACATGATTTATATATTTATTTTGATTTTGTTCAAAAACTTTTTTTGTGTAGCTTATATCTTTATTTGTTTATTACAGATGGACTGGAGCAAGTAATTAAAACCATTATTGGGGACGATAATACTTATAGTTTAGGTAGCTATAATTATATAACGATAAAAAAAATAAAGATATTAATAAAAATAATATAAAATTTGCCACTAAAATTCATCTTTATTCAAGTGTATATAAGTGATATAAATTATACAATTTTCTTTAGAATCTTCATGGAATTTTTATGAAAAAAAATTATGCTATCTCTGTCAGCCTCGTCTAATAATTTTGTTTTTTTCAAATATTTTATTTTCATAATTGTTTATTTCTTCGTAACGATTACTGAATTTACTGTTACGAACAACAGTTTTATGAAAAAAATGATCTACTCTGTCAGTCTATCTAAGAATTTTCTTAAATCTAATATTTATTTTCAAAGTGTTTATTATTCTGAATCGAATTCTAAGTTACTAACACCCATTTTTTTATCCTAGAATTCCTTAGGAAGAATAGACATCAATCCTCAGCATTGATATATGCATTGTTAATTTCAGGAGCTATTTTGAATATGATCGCTATACCGGGTAATCATTGTCAATGAATATATTGGAAATATTTCCACACAAACGTTTGATATTCACTAAGTACATAATGTTTTTGTTTTAATTTCAGATAATCCGCACCTTAACGACTTTCGGGGTACAAAATATTTATATTACATTTGTACAATACTTTACACTAATTAATGTATATACATGTGTAGAATAATCATTGGTTTCAAGTATAAGATATTGACAAAGTAAAATGTATGTATTTTACAGAAAGTGCAACAAATCAAAGAGTTTTCCGAGAAAAAATACAAAGTGAATTAGGTAAATATAAAATTTAACATTTTTAAGCGAAAATCATATTTTTGCCTTATGTTTATTGCATCAGTATTTAATTTAACCATTCGAAATGTAATTTGAACCGTTAATTTAAAAGTTTATATTAAAAATAATTTAATGCTATTGTAATATTTTACATTAATTTGTTGGTCTAGTTAATTTCAGTTTTAGTGTTATTGTTATATAATATTTGATATAATTATTGTTATAGGTATTGGACAACTTCAAGTTCTGGAATCAGGTAATTATAAAGTTTTCTATTTTCGCAAATAGCGTTTAAGGCTACTGTTTAGAGTTGAAATAGATCATCTTGAGTGAATGTTTAAGACAAGAGTGATATAAACAAAAAATAATTAAATTATGCTAAAATAGTGCGATAATTTATTATTTTATATGTAAAAAAATTAAGAAAACTTATTCGAATAACTATTATTCTTTTAGTATTATTATATAAAAATAATTTTATTTATACTAAAAATAATAGGTAATAACTACTATTATTAATATTATAATAATTATTTTTTATTAACACAGTCATTGTATTTTTTTTTTAGATTATAGACCGTTAGGATTGTACGACCTTGGTAGTCGAAGGAGAACACATACTAGACAAGCTTTAATAAATATATACAAACACTCTGTAGGTAAATATTGAAACAGATTTATCATATATAACTATATAAGTGATACCTAGAGTACATAAATGTACTTTTATAATATCCAGCCAGTACTAATACATACTTCCTAAACTGCTAAATAAGGACACCAGTGCATTTGACACCGTGCTACTAAGTTTGTCAAATTAAAAAATAACATTTAACATTTTTTTTTTAGTTGGATTTGAAGGGCTGTTCTCTGAATTATGGATATGTCGTATGATAGCATTGTTCGTGAGTGCGAAATTCCCAATTTTATATATAAGAAACATCCAGGCTGGTCCCAATACTTGCATAACGTTTAATGGGGTTACAACCGACACATACAGCAAAGTTAGGGGCGAATGGCGTCAATTTGTCGGCAATATTAATTTTATGAGCCTCGATGGTGTGTTTGTTTATTGATATATTTAGAATAATTATTAATGATATATTAAGACGGTTTAGACAATTTACATCGAGAATTTGAATTATGTAACTCTTCTCAATATGTTACAGTACCGTTGTTGTTTCGTTTAAATAATTTTTACATTATGCACTAACATTCAACTTGTTGATTATTTCCAATTTAATGTAATTTATAATAAAAAAACATTACTCACGATTATGATCACACTTTTGTTGCTTATGCGTTTGTGGAAACACATGCTTATATTTTTTTACCATATTGTTTTACAGATCGAACTGAAACATTTTTTAAAACATGAATTTATCTTTTGTCTGCATAACAATGTAACGACAATATTATCAACTAGCGGGTACACTCAATATGAGTTAAATTATTTTTAAAAAAAACGCAATATACCTTTGGAAGATATTTTAGGTTTAATTTGGTATAAAACTTTGTGAAATTACATGTCGTGACAATAGGTACTCTTTGCACTAGCTTAAGAAAAATATGTAAACAACAGAAGTTTACACACCACATCAGAGTAATGCAAAAAGTAGTCATAATAAAAAAAATACACCCTGCTCAAACTTAAAAAATTGTACATATAAGCAACTCTGCATATGATACGTTTAGATTTTACTGTTTCGGTCAACATAATATAAGCGCACCGACAAGTGTTATGAAAACCACTTTAAAACAGTCTGACAAGTTAGTCGATTTGATCTTCAAAATGCCAAAATTGTATTAATATAATTAAAAAACACTACCAACAACAAGCATTGTGAGTACGCCTTTAATACATTTTTATTAGAAACTGTCTGTAAAAATATACTAAAAATGTACAACAGTGTTTATTGATTTTAGATTTATAATTAGAAAGATAATAAACAAATAATGTTGTGGCTGCAACATTAAGAGGAACGGGAAACGATATTTAGTAAGGGGCAAAGGATAGGCAAAATTTGACATAAAATGATCTATCAGCCCTGTTAAACGTGCTGACTTATTTTAAGGTTCAAAAATATTGAGTTTATCTAGTTGTATCTGATAAAATATGAGAGATAATAATAATAATAATACTAATAAACATACCGTTTGCGAAAATGCTGTCTCGTCTAAGTAAACGTAATCCTATTTCGGTCGCTTTTATTCATTTGAAAAGTCACATTAAAAAAATAATAATAATATAGAAATGATTAAAGAAATCACTAAACTTTATTAAGCAAAAAAAAATCGTTTGGGTCGACGCTAATTGTAGTTTATTTATCGTCCAGGCGATTCTGATTTTTCGGTTGCTAAGTAAGTTGTCAATCGTTATTAAGCGCAATATTTATATAATAGGGTTTCCTAAACTAACAATAATACAATATATTATCAGTCGAAAAAGTTATCTTACTATGTTTTTCAAAAAATTATTAAATTGACATTTACTCTGTAATAAGACATATACATATTGTGCCTGTGTATCCGCTTGTAGCGTGGATGCTCTTAAAAATTAAAATTAATTAATTAGAAAACAAAGTAAAAATATAAACGCTAATTATAGAAATCTAGCAAATCTAAAAAATCGCCGTAAAAGTACTTGGAAAAGGTACTTTAATGGGAAAAAAAAATTAAAAAGTTATTGATAAACGTTGACAAACGTTGACAAACCAAAAAAAAATATCACAAAACCTTTCCCTTTTTCTTTATTTCGTTTTTCAGGTGAAGTTATAAGGATTAAGATGTGAAAATTAAACCGAAGGTAGATCTTAAATTTCTCAAAAATGCCTTTTTTCAAGTCGAACTTTTTTTATTAAGAAACACCAAACAAATAAAGGCAACACTAAATTCGTTTTGACTACATGCCACTCTTTTGATTCTCTCTTAACACAATTTGTCATCATAGATTATATGGAAAAAAAAATGTTCATATAGTCATAGTTCCTAAAGTTCTACTTTCTTCTTAATTATTAATTTTACATTGCGCTTCTGGGGTACTTACGATTTAAGTAAATTTAATAATAAGTAAAATTTCATACTTCATTACGTGTAATATGATACTTAAAACATTGTTACAATTCGACAAACACTTGTCAACTGGCTTATTTAATATTACATAGAATACATAATATATAATATTATGTTGGTCTTTTATACAGAACGTTTCAAGCCGTTTTCACAACATAACATTTACACAAATACTTTACATACGGTTTTTATGTGAAACTGTCAACGTTACTTGAAACAGTCTGTACACATAATAAAGTCGATTTATTTTGATTTTTGGTAAACGTTGCTCAGGTAGATTAGCTGTTAATAACAATAACTTTTATATCCTTTACAAGACAAGTTAATGTAATTGGCACAAACTAATATTATTAATTACATATGTGTCTATTTTGCCCTTGGTTTTTTTGCGCTGCCATGATGAGGTCTTTTTTTCTCCTGTCCATTCGATTCATTATTAAAATAAACAGAAATTAATTTTAAAAAATCTATTTTAAAGACGAATTAAACTGGTTTACACGTTTATTTTGGTAATTCGCCCGGTTGAACGGTTGTTGATGCGACAACGGTTTCCAATGAATCGCCCATTCTGCCCATAATTGGCACAACGGGTGCCGCCGGCGAAGGTCCTCCAAATGCTGTTATGAAAACGTTAAGGGCTGTTATTAGAAATATGCCCACAATGACATAATTGCCAAATCTGAATGCTAATTTCCGCTGTTCGCAGTTCGTTACGTTGTATCTGACGCTCAAATGAAGTGCTATACCGACCAGAATCTAAAAAAAGAAAAAAATCCTATTATGTTACCAAAAATAAATATCATGTTAAACAATTCCAGGTTAGGTTCAGTTAATGACTGATTACTATTGAGGAAGGTAACGAATTCTCTTTTAAAGGCAACTTTAACAACACTATAATTTTTTTTTTTTAGGAACACTAACTAGGACTTGACGTAAATATATTGTGTGCAATTAGATAGTTTACTCGTACAAACCTGAAGGGAAATACTGGCTAATAGAAGACCTATGCAAATACAGCTCAACACGCCGCCGCCGGATTCGATCACGTATCTCAATTGGTTTGCGTTGGCCGAAAACAGAGCTACGTCCATCATGCCTTGCGACAAAAGTTTTTTATTCTGGTACAAGTTCACCGCCTTGGATGTGTCTTCTTCGGTATCTTTTACAAACTAAAAAACAAAAGAAAACAGAATCATCTAAGACTAAAAGACCCCAGACCCCTGTTTTAATTTTAGAATAAATTGTCATATAACATTCTCAGCGTTACGTGTAATGTTAAAAAATCCCTTCGGCTATAGCACAACGCTAGACCAGATCAGCTAATTATTGTATCCCTTATAGTTAGGTTAGGATTATAGATTTCCTCTTATCACCCGATTCTCTGTATCCCCTAGGGATTATGGCCATTTATGTATGTTTTAAATATTGTGATTCTGTGTTATCGGTTCAACTTACTAATTTCAATAAAGCAGTGGTATAAGGTTGTATTTCCCACAAACATGGCGGAAAACGGTTACTTCGATTATCTCTATTGGCTATCTAGTTTGTTATATCTGTAGGTTAGGTTAGGTTATTATAGAGCTAGGGTATTACGCTTTCGTCCATAAAGCCTCCGAAACCTTGACCTTTTTGCGGTGCTTTGGGTATGTCCAGGAGTTGGTCTTGGGCAGTTGGTGTCGGTTCCTTCGGCTGTGTGGCAGGGTTAGGACCGGGGTTGGTATCTCTCACTTGCAGCTGTTGTGTGTCATTCAGATTGACATCCCTTCGGTTGCTTGTGGGCACCAGCTGATCTCGTTGGACAGTTAGTTTATTGTTGTAAGGACTTCGGATCGTTGACGTTGTGTAGCCACAAGGTGTCCTGCCAGAGGATATTCCTGCAAATTAAAATAAATCAAATGGTAAATACGACTTTTTGTGGTTTTAAGACATTACCTGCTATTTTATAGGAACATAAAATATGAGGTGACCCCCGAGTCTCCGGTTTACGGTTACAGATTTGTAGAAGAATAAAAAAACTTAAAAATCCGACAGGTGGTCAATTTATTAACGTTAGTCTGTACAAAAATTGTAAATATTTTTTTTAGATGTCTTGTCAATTTATACAGGGAGTACCTGCCTGGGTTTTAATAAAAATAATTATAGTATAATTTTATAGTTTATAAAGGCCATTATGTCGGCAATAATAATAGTAATATTTCTTTATCAGGGAAATAAATTCCAATTACAAAATTTAATTTTTAATTTTACACATTAATACGTATATATTACCAGTAATTTAAGTATAATAACAATTTATTCGGAATAAATACAGAGCCAATAATAATAATAATAGTGAGATTAGAAATGTTTATGAGTAAGAAAGATAATTGTTCTATACTATTAATTTTCAATTATCAAGATAAGCCCTGAATGAAAATTACTACCAACACAGCGATAAGTACACACACATGCGTTGTGTTCTATCATATGCGTAGGTATATATCATAATATTATGAAAAACCAATTCCGATGACATGACATTATATTATGTAAACCAGGTTTTAGTGAATATGAATAAATATATCACGTAATGCCCGGGGGATTTGAGATTTATCAATAGGACAATTTAAGCTGGTCGGTGGTGTATTTTTCAACTTTTTTTGTAGTGTTAATAATTTTCGGGATACCTTTGACATATTTAACGGTAATTAAATTTTGTTCACCTTTTTCTCTGCGATCTTGCAGTGTTTTTCTGAGATTGGCCGTTTCACCACGCCGCTTGGTCGGTTTGTCCGAAGAAAAATGAATATTCGACCATTTCGTTGATTTCTTTAAGCGTTTTTGTGCTCGAAGAATAGTGAACACATCCGACTGGTGTGCAAGACGAATTTTCACGGGTCGTGGTCTATCAGTTGATTTTATTCTTCCAAGACGTGCAAATGTAAAGTGTTCAATATTCTCGTTCAAATCGGTAAGAATATGTTCAATATTTTCCAAGTCACTTTCATTATCATTTTCGGGTAGATTAAATAAAATAATATTATTCGATCTTACTTGTCTGTCCATCAGCTCTTCCATAGCATCGTGTTCGGATGAAGAACGTTTATTGTTTTCCACAGATAATAGTCGTTCTTCGATATTTACAATTTTCAATTTAAGATTTCTATTTTCTTCCATTACAACAGAGAAGTTTTTGAACAAATCATCGAATCTCTTGTCTAGTCGGTTGAATTTTTCCATACGAGAATTTATCGAAGAAATGATTTTTCCATTTGATCTTTTGACAGCTGTGACAGTTTTTATGAGATCATCCAGTTTTTTTTCCATTGTATTTTTAACAAAAAATCACTATGTTAATTTAACCTTGACCAGCTACGCACGTGCGATCGCGATGACGGCGAAACCGAAACTGGTTAGTCATTATACTTGATAGCGATTTTACAATTTTTTTTCTATTGCAAATTATCATGATTATTATCACAAGTAAAATTATGTAAAAATATAAGTTGACATTTCAGAGACAAACCCAGAAAACCGGACAACAAGAGTGAATATAAAAATATTCCATACCTTAGCGCGTTGGTTATGAAACGTACAAGTGTTTATAAAATTTACAAATTTTGATAAAATATTTACTCAATGTATGGTGCAAAACAGACGTGCTAAATAATAATAGCGTAAAAATTCTTCTTAAAGTGCACTAATGTATACTGTCTAGCCGAGATGATACTGGTATTATTACAATGATGATGTGTTTTGTTTGATCAACAGTCTGTGTACCAATCATATGAGAAAGACAACGGAGAGCACTCTTTATCTAAAATGTTATAATTATATTAATAACGGTAGTGCTGTGATCTTTGCACCATAGATCACACACAGCGGCAACATGTCGTCTAATCGAAAGACCTCTGACAATACCGTATCGCCAATTAAATTCGTACTCGACTAAATTGTCAACAACGACAATAGTAAAACGGCAACTAATGATAATAAACTAGGCTCATCTTCCTCCTCTACTCCTTGGCTTTTCCGCTCTATCAACAGAAGAGCCTATCAACGCAAACGACGCCCTGTTTGATGATTCAAATAAGGAGCAACCGGATACTGCCAACAATACTCCAAAGGCTATTCTACCTCCACCAATATTTATTTAAGGCGTTCTTGACTGCATCGAAGTCCAATTCCACACTTATCAACTACAATCTTATAAATCACCATTAACAGTTGTTATCAGAAACTTACACCCAGTTGCTGATATCGATTCAGCTTTGGAAGAAATATGTTCCACCGTGAAAAACGTTAAACGTCATCCATTCTCTTTTGACTAAAAATTAAAAATAATTTTGTCATCTGAAAATTCTGTTTCTTTATTAGTAATACTAATATTTAACGTTGCGCTTCTACGGTACTGTAGATTTAAGTAAATTTATTATCAAGTCAAATTCCAAGTTCCAAAATTGTGTAGAATATTTTTAAGACATAACACAATGAATATCTGCTTACCCGACTTATATTTGTATGTCTTTCTGTTAGACAAATAGCTTACTCAAACTGACCAAGTCAATCGATTTTCTCTTGTTTTCCTGCTATTTGAGATTCCCAACACTTTTGTACTCTCTTTTAATTAAAAATTAAATATAATTTTGTCATCTGAAAATTATGTTTCCTTATTAATTATATCAATTTAACATTGCGCTTCTGCGGTACTTAGATTTAAGTAAATTTATTAATAAGTAAAATTCCATACCTCATTACTGTAAAATATATATTTAATCATAAAACATTCGACAAACACTTGTGCACAGACTTAATTAATATTACATAGAATACATATTATATAATATTATGATGTTTTCACAACTTAACATACGGTTTTCATGTAAAAATGTCAACGTTACTTGAAACAACCTGTATACAATTTAAAGTCCATTCGTTTTGATTAACGTTGCTCAGGTAGATAAGTTTTTGATTATAATTATTACTTTAATAATATTAATTTTATTTACTTAACAAGACAAGTTAATGTAAATGACACAAACTATATATTATGTTAGGCACAGATTAAAATAACATTTATCAATTATTTCTATGGAAAAAAAATACAAAGTTACACTGCCTAGTGCACTATATAGGACGTATCACGATGATCTAACGGATTTACATGCATTTTATATGAAATTCTGTCTAACCACCGTGGTACACCCTATACACAGAGGGTTATTCATTGACTATGAGCAAGGTTACTTACGGACTGTATGTAAACTGGCTAATAGTTATTGAATTTCCCTGCGATGTGTCTAATTTGCAAGTAACTTCGGTTTGTTAGTCACAAAAACGTTATTAGGTACATTTATAATCGAAATACTGTTTGTAGCAAAATAAAAATACACAAACAAACTTTTGGCAGGGTTAAACATTGCCAGTGTCAATTAACTTTGAAAAAAAATAAGTAGGTTAAGTAATATATATATACAGTGCGATTCACTGGAATCTGGCAGATTTGTATACACACACATGTATGCAAATCTGCCGGATTCCCGTAACCCGCACTTCATTAACAAAACTGTAACAAATTAAGAACAAAAGTAAGTACAAAAGTTATAATTAGTATACAGTATAGCAAATATGACATTATAATAAAATTTAAAAAATAAATAAATAAAAACGGCACAATTATAAAAAAAACTTTGAGAAAATATTAAAGACATACATTTCGTTTTATTTAAAAATACAAAACTAACAATTAAATGTTAAGTAATAATATTATTATAATTTAAATTGTACCATGCGCAGTCTTCTCGGTTTAGTCGTTTTAAATTTAGATTAAATTATGTCATACTTAAATACCGTTACAAATGTATTTTCGAGGGATTTTGTACTTTTGAGCTGGCTTTTGTTTTTCTCTTATCCGTTCGCTTTATTATTAAAATTTTTTTTAAAAAAACTCATAATGTATTAAGTATGTATTAAACACGGTTTTGAAGACGAGCTATCTGGTTTACACGTTTAATTTAGTAGTTCACCCGGTTGAACGGTTGACGCACCAACGGAATCCGACGAATCGCCCATTCTGCCCATAATTGGCACAACAGGTGCCGCCGGCGAAGGTCCTCCAAATGCTGTTATGAAAACGTTAAGGGCTGTTATTAGAAATATGCCCACAATGACATAATTGCCAAATCTGAATGCTAATTTCCGCTGTTCGCAGTTCGTTACGTTGTATCTGACGCTCAAAAGAAGTGCTATACCGACCAAAATCTAAAAAGAAAAAAGTATATTATGTTACCAAAAATAGATATCATGATAAATAACATCATCGAGTCATCGTCTGCACGGTACAAGGGACGGTTAGGTAAGGTTAGATTAGGTTGAATTACACCAAGATTAGATCCCAATATGCTTTGTTTAATTTTGGGACAGGACCGGCAAAAAAATGTTTGATTTAGATTTTTTTTCTTCAATTTTTTGCATTGTAATTAGTAATTAGCAATTTATATTTTGTACTAACAAATATATTGACTAACTGTTTTTTTTATAATTTGTTTGTCAATTTTAGTTAGTGTAGCCAATATGAACTATATAAAAATGTAATTTTGGAAAAAAAGTTATTCCGATTCAAAGCAGACCAAAAAAAAAGTGTCAACATTTTTATTCTATTTTTTTTTGGGGGGGGGGGGATTCGGCAAAAGAACAATTAAATTTTATTTAGAAACAAGGAAAAAATTGTTTTAATTTTAATTTTGATGGAGGGGTTGGATTAGTGTTGTTTTTATTTTATAGAAAAGAGGAAGGTAACGAATTCTCTTTTAAAGGCAATTTTAACAACACTAAGTTTGAGCATGAAACATGCTTTAGCCTTGGCCTCCCAGCTCGAAAACGACACAAAATAAGCGTCACGAAAGTAGCGCACCTACTTATGATATGATAATTATAACACATGATTAAGACTATACTATCGCCATAAATCGCAAGGAGATAAAAGGAGATAATCACTATTCAGGAGCCAGCAGGCTAAAGCATGTTCCATGTTTTATAATTTAAGCTGTTATTCTTTAATTAGACTGTAACTTGGTGGACGCCTAAGTTTTGTGCAATTGGATCATTTACTCATTCGGGTGAATGATTAATATCTCCGTACAGGGTAACCCTTTAAAAGTTAGCGCCGTTATAGCAGTACAAACCTGAAGGATAATACTGGCTAATAGAAGACCGATGCAGATATAGTTCAATACGCCACCGCCGGATTCGATCACGTATCTCAACTGATTTGCGTTGGCCGAAAACAGAGCTATGTCCATCATGCCTTGCGACAAAAGTTTTTTATTTCGGTACAAGTTGAACGCCTTGGGTGTGTCTTCGTCGGTATCTTCTACAAACTAAATAAAATAAAATAATAAAATCTAAGTAAAAATGTCCTCATATTATTTTTGAATAATAATAAGTAAAAATAAATCCCTTCAAGTGTAGCACAATGCTTGACTGGATTGCAGCTGATTTCCTGCCCTTGTCAGTGGATTATAGATTTCCTCTTAACACCTATCTATTTTCATCCGATTCTCTTTTCAATCGTCTCTTATAATACTGACTCTATTGTCTAGGGCACGGTCTTATAACCAGGTCTAGTAATTCCCTATACTTTTCATAGCGTAGCCGTTGCGTTCCAATACGGCGATGAGATCTACGGTTGATCAATGCAATTTCGTGGCCCCATAATGGAACAAAAAGACATTTCGTATAAGGAGTTACCAGATCTGGTTATATGATCGTCACGACTTTTAACCGGTAAACTTCCTCCCGAATGACCTGTTCAAGGCACAGATATATATATATATATATAATATACTAGGTGATTGGTTAACTATGGACCAGTCATTAACTTAGAAGATATTAGACTTTTTTAAATTACTTTTTTTTTTTATAATTTCAAAGTTACGAATTGGGATAAATTTAATATATTTTTGAAAAACATAACCCCATCCATTATATTTTAAAACCGTATGAACTTAAGAATTTTAAATGGAAACGTAAATACTTTATTATCTTATTAAATTAAGAAAAATTTGCTGAACATTTTGACTGGTCGATAACCAGTTTTGGATAATTAGTTTTCAAGTTATTCATTTTTAAAAGATATAACCGAAGGGAAAGGGCGATTGAGATTAATGCGCGCAGACAAAAACATCTCTACTCTTCACCCTTCCTCCCGTCCTAAATTTTAAGCTTTAATAACTTTGAAACTAATTATCCAAAACTGCTTATCGGCCAGTCAACATATTCAGCAAATTATTCCTTTTTCAAAAAGTTAATCAAATACGTTACTATTTAAAAAAAACTCAAGTTTATAAGATTTTAACATACATAAGGGACGGAGTTACAATTTCAAAAAATATATTAAATTTTTCCCAGCTAATAACTGTAAAATTATAAACAAAAAAATAATCAAAAAAAGTCTAATATCTTCTAAGTTATCGACTGGTCCTTAGATAACCAATCACCCAGTGTACAACTAACAAGACTGCTAACTAGTGATAAAAATAGAAGTCGACGTTGGCCATTTATGTGTGTAAAAAATAATATACATATATATATGATATTGTGGTTCTGTGCTATCAGCTCAACTTACTAATTGCAATAAAGTAGTGATAAGGTTCTATTTCCCGCAAAAATGGCGGAAAACGGTAACTCCGATTATCTCTATTGGCTATCCAGTTTGTTATATATTATGTACATTCTCGGTGCTATGATGTATTGTTAACTAATCCCTTCAGCTATAGCACAACGCTAGACTAGATCAGCTAATTATTGTATCCCTTAGTTAGGTTAGGATTATAGATTTCCTCTTATCACCCGATTGCTCTGTATCCCCAGGGATTAAGGCCATTTTTGTGTGTATTAAATATTGTAGTTCTGTGCTATCGGTTCAACTTACTAATTGCAATAAAGCAGTGATAAGGTTCTATTTCCCGCAAAGATGGCGGAAAACGGTAACTCCGATTATCTCTATTGGTTGTCCAGTTTGTTATATATTATGTACATCTGCGGTTTTAGGTTAAAACGTTTGTGTGTTAGTGTATAATTATAGCTAGGGTATTACGCTTTCGTCCATAACGCCTGCGAAACCTTGACCTTTTCGCGGTGCTCTGGGTCTGTCCAGGAGTTGGTCATCGGGGGCGGGTGTAGGTTCTGTCGGCTGTGTGACCTGAGATTCAGGATTCTGTGCTGGAACAGGGTTAGGCCCGGGGTTGGTATCTCTCATTTCCAGCTCTTGTGTGCCATTGGGATTGACATCCCTTCGGTTGCGCGTGGGCGCCGGCTCATCTCTTTCGGCGGTCAGTTTATTGTTGTAAGGACTTCGACTAGCCGGCGTTGGGTAGCCATAAGGTGTTCTGCCGGGAGACATTCCTGCAAATGAAAAGAAATCAAACGTTTTACGGTAGTTTCCATACCTTGGGCTTCCCTAAGAAACATTGACTCGTGGATTTGTTTTTAGACAGTGAACCGGCATATCCACTTTTAGCCCGACAGCGTCCTATAATGACGTCATCGTGTTGGCGGCCATTGCCACCGATGTACATATGTTTAGGTATGTGTTAATTTTCATTTCCCCCCCCCCTCTCTCCTTCATCAATCTACAATCGTCGTTCTTCCCTTCCGTCTATCTACAATGTCCTGTGAGGTCATTTATAAGACAACAACTACTACTGTAGACGTTTTAATGTAATATGAGGTGGCCATGGTCAAAGACCCAGACGATTTTAGACGTTGTATAGATGAACAAAAAAGGTAAAAATCCGTCAGGCGATCAAATTATTAACGTTAACAAACTAATCTGTGCAAAAGTAGTAAATCTTTTTTAGATATTTTTTTTTTTTTGAAAACATTTTTGTATTACAATTATTTGTAAAAACGATACCTGCTGAAGTTCACTTCGAAACTAAAATTTAATCTACAAAATTAGCAATAAAATAGTTTTTTTGTGGTCCCAACTCTTGGGTAAATTAATGTCAAACGAAAACTATTGATTTCTCTAATTTAAAGTCCAATGTGCAGTTTGTAGTTTGGTGTAATCGGTTTCTGATAGTAACATACGAACTATTATCATATATTAAATAGAACATACTGTGGGTAACCACAAAAATGTCCTATCTATGTTTTGCTACCTACTTTGTATAGAATGTGAAATAAATTGCGAATGATTATATAGTAATTTAATTTGAAAGTAGAACTAATTCTTAATAGTAAAGAAAATGATAAAACAAATTAATAATTAAATCGCCCGCTGGTAAAACGTTTTCATAATAGTCATTATTGTTTATTTTAGGTATTATATATTGTTTTCATGAAAAACTAAAGCTTTTAAAACGTTGTGGCTGAAATATTTACTCATCACCATTTGGAAGTATTGTAAGAATACTATAATTTTTCAATTATATGGCTGTTTGTTTTACTATAAGAGTATTAGAATAATTGAAAACAAAAACAATTTTAGTCTTAATACAATGAAATGCGTCAAAACAGATTGCAGTCTTAGCTACAGTAATAGTATATTGTTTTAATTATCATGTTAGGTTTACACATCAAAAGTTATCGATAAGAAAAAATGTTATGGTTCAAAGGTCGAGGAAAAATACTATAGTTACGTAGATTGTTTTTGAATTAAACCAAAAACGAATCGCTCTAACAATATTAAGTCTATGAAATGGCCTGTCTTGCCTTCCTGTTAAAACATGAAAAAAAAAGTTTTTCAGCCGAGTCTGCAACCACGAAAGAGCATTTTCATGTCTCGTTGAAGTACCGAATAAATTTAGAGTAGTGGTGGAATTATAGATAATGATATAGTATATTAACGAGCGGTAAAAAAATTACATGGAGCTTCCAGTTACAGCATAAGCCAAGGAGATTAAAAAATTATGTACAATCAAGTTTCTGGCTAATATTTTAGTGTTTTCGTAAAATCTAGCTTGAAACAATTCGACCTGTTAAACTATTTTGAATTTATTATTTAGTTCTAATTTTAACGTTGAACGTACAACATCTCTTATCTCTTATCAGATAACAGCGTAACGCTTTTTTCGTTATGCTTTTTTCGGTTATGTGCCAGAGCTAAGACATGAAAATGTCAAAAAATGAATAGTACAAATCCGTCAGAGTTGGATAACCCTTGAAGCTACGCTCTCTTGATAAAATCTTAATACTTACAATAATTTGTTAACAAAGTACAAATGTCCACTGCCTAACAGATGAGAATGTTAAACAGTAGTGGTTCTTAGAACCAGCGTGGTTTATACCAGAGTCATAGTTAATAAACACAATGCTGTAATGAAAAAATTAAAAATACAAATTGATCCGTTGCCAATATTTTATTTAAATGTTTACTTTTTTGTGTTTGGCCAATGGTAGTCTGTGGTTGAAAAGTGCACTTTAAAATTACCGCTTCATGTTAAAACGAAAGGACCAGATTTAGTATGTTTTCTCGTGTAACCCAGTGAAAAAATGTATCGTAAACAAAACGGAAAAAACAAATTTATTTAAAAAAAAGTTAATTAACGTTTCATTTTCTTGGTCGATGTACTTTGCACCGTATTTTATACTACAAACTATAAATATTCAGCATTCATTTCATAAATAGGTAGGTATACTAATCATAATAGTATAACCCACTCACGAGGAATAACAGAGGAAGCTTATTTTAATATTAATATGGAAGTATAATAATATATTGATTATTATAATAAATCACATATATAATATATTTGTTCTGAAAATACTAATACACAACATTGACCCAATTAACATCGTTTTCTGGCCAGCACAAAATAATTTTGTGTTATCGAAAACATCCCACAAGTATTATTTTTATAATTAATATTTCTCGTGTCGAATCACAAAAATATGAGTTAAACATCCTTTAAAAAATCCATACTTATTCATGAGACGCATAATATATTTCAAGGTCAGGCAAGTTGATGGTTTAGATACTTATATGGACTTGAGTTAGATAATATATTATGAGACTTGAGCTATGAGAAATGTTTTAAATGGTTTAATAAGAAATTTCATTTTCAGACTGTTTTAAGCTAGTGTTCACAATTTTATATCGCATACATTTCATTAACTTTTTAAATTGAGAATAATGTACTAAATATTATGCTGACTGGTCGATAACTAGTGTTGGATAACTATTTTTGTCACTCTTAACTTACTAACCCTTTTTTTTTTTTATAAATAACCTACTAAAACGTTATATAAATTAAAATGATCTACGAGTATAACAGACATACCCTATTGTTGATAGTAGCCTATGAGAATAATAATTGGAGTAGAGCTGAAACTTACTCAATTACAAAAACTACCGACGCAGAACTGTTACTATTTCAATTTTCTAACATCTGTTAAGTACAGTACATTAATGTATGTACATTTTTTTTTTTTTTTTTTTGTTAACGAGCCATCATCTGAAGTTAACTGTACAGAAGTATTGTGTAAGTGCACGGTGAAGAGAATCGTGTGCTTGATAACATAATAGTGTGTAATAATAATAATATGTTGTGTTTAAAACAAAATTAACACGGGGAAAAATATCTGAAGCCGACGATTCATTGCCATGGCCCATGACGTGTTGATATAATCTTGTTTGTTGGTGTTTTTGTCTTGGTCATATCAAATCAGTTATTGCAATAGAATAAATGAATGATAATCACAGACACGAGACGGAGTGCATTCGATAGACAAAGATGTTTTTTTTTCTTCAAAATAACGCGCCGTTAATTAATAATAATACCTAGGAACTACTAATAATGATAATAGTATTATTATTACCAAAATAAGTAAGATGCCGTTATCAGAATAATATATTATGCTACCCATTTGTTTTCACTGAAAAAGGCTATTTACGCTTTTTAATTAAAACGATAATTGCCGACGACATAATTATATACATGTGATGATTCGTCATAAGATTAAGACGATCGTTTTTTTTTTCTTAAAATAATTGCAATTTTTTAGTTTTTCTTTTCCGAGAGACTAGTTTATTTTATATAATTAATTTTAGACAATATTCAATTTTTTTCTAGAGCTCTATCAAACCTTTAATGGTAACCAATATATTAATTAATTACCTTTTTAAATTAAGAACAATTTGCTGGAAATGCTGACTTGGTCAATGACCAGTTTTGGATGATTACTTTTTAAGTTATTACGTTTAAAAATGTATGAGATGATAAATTGCAATTTAATAGTTGCAACCCTAATGAAGTGCCCTGTAAAAGCTTCAAAAGTTCAAAATATATAATGTTGTGTTTTGAGGTTCCTTAATTGAAATTGAATTCAATCACAACTTATACATCAATACACATAATTATTACATTTTAACCAATAATATGTATAAATAGGTTACAAAAACATACAACCACTAGCATAAGAGACATATTATAATACTAAAAGTACACATTATTGTTATAAAACTCAAATATAACAACAACTATAATAGTAATCATGCAAAACCCATCGTTGTTAATAATATATTTTGGATACTTATAATTTTAAAGTAAAACAAAAAAGCTTAAATTTAAATACTGAATTTAGCCAGTATTATGTTATTCATCTACTTGCGAGATTTGGAAAACTTAGTAGTATTAATACAAAATATATACACTACAGGAAACAAAATAAAAAAATCCATTTACTAAATAACAAGATTTTGTACCTGAAATAGACGTCTACATTATATTTTTACCTATCCATGTCAGTTTAAATATGTTGAAACGTTAGTGACCTTTTTTACATTAACTTAACGAGTCATTCGTGAATATTTAAAATCTTAGTTCAATTATTATTTTATGAGACTATAATATTAATGTGTTTAACTGTGAATACTAGTGCTATTAAAACGAAAATAAAATGCTGGTTCTGTTGACCTATTATATGAATATGATATGCCTACTTATTTTTTGGAGTTTTTCTATATTAGTATGGCAGCATTATTACATTAATAATGTTGCCATACTTATAGATCTATCACCGCAGACGTTTTCATAGTTACTCGAAAGTTGATTACAGCTAGTAGATATCTTTAAAAAAATGTAATTATTTTAAATAATGTGCCTGGACTTTAGGAAAAGGTTTAATAGATTACATTTTAACGAATCTACCCTTAGAACCGTAGTGGTATAATATTAAAACTAAATATTTTTTACTATTTTTTTTTTTTTATAAGCAAGTTCTTACCCGGTTTGTTGCGGTTTTCCGGCAGATAACTCATTTCGGTTTTGTATAATATTATATTTTGATTTCCTACGAAGATCACCACTCGGATCGACCACGTTGTGCACGTTTATTATTTTTTTTTTACGGTATTTTATAATATGAGATGATATTCGACAACGACAATAGTAGGGAAAAAATTACAATATTATATTAACATCAGTCCGCACAACAACTACCGGCATGGTCGTACCGCGCACGGCCTACTGGCCAGTGGCTGGCTGCTGCTGCGGGCTGATAATTTTTATTTTATAATATTTACATAATATAATAATACAAAAAGCGGTATAAAACCGTGTATAGAGCGTGTACTCACACCGGATTCGGTTGACAGCTAGCGCTTCGTGTGCCTCGTTCTCATCAATACCGCAGCAACAGCAGCTGTCTGGAGGGAGAAATCAAAATGCCAGCGGCTCGTCCAACGAAGGGCATAATATTATTGCGGTTGTGATCGGCCGAGTACAATTGTATTATCATATTAACAGTGTTGCCAACTCATCTGCACGGTAATCGTGAAATTACCGTGTTGGCGCTTCAGCCCATATATGGGCGCTTAAATTGTATTTTACTTATAATAATTTCGGTTCAGTCTTTCGACTTACCGTACTAAAAATAAATAAATAATGCAAACTTTAACTTTTTTTAACTATAACTTACAAATACGTCTAATAACAACAAAATAATAACTTAATGAAAAATTATTATTAGAATTTATCTCATGACTCATTAGTAAAATATGTATTCGCAGTAAACGTGCAGATTGTTATTCTTATTGTAAATTAGTGTTATTTTTCCATAATCCGAAAATAATAGTAAATACAACAACATTTTACCCTTTTACTGTATTTTAGTAACACAAAAATGCAAAAAAAAAATTCATCAATTTTTTTTTTGTTGAGTTAAAATGTTTAATATTATCGAGCTTTAGGAAAGTGCCAAATTTTATTCAATTTAAGGCTAAAACGCGAGTTTATTTTCTCAAGTGTCTAACCGAACAGATTTCATTTTTTTTCTATTATATTAAAATTTAATATTTTCTCTGGGTGGGCTAAAAGGCCGATTTTTGTTTTTAAAATTTTACTATAATCATTTGTATTTTTACAGTTTTTTTCTAATAGCTTAATTAAAAATCAGTCTTTTAGCCACCTCGTAGAAACGTCTTAGGATGGTCCGATTGAAATTCTGAAAAAAATTATGTTTAAAACCTATTTTAATTTCTCAAATCTCTCAAATTGTTATTATTCACTACCTTGTCGTTTTAAGTAAATGAAATAGTTATTCAAAAATTTACAAAATTTAAATCCGATCATCCGAAGTAGGCGTAATTATATGTCAGGTCTTTAGGTCTAAATTGGTTTCATGTACTACCAAAATGACTTTAAGTCGTAGGAAAATTTGTATACATAAAAAATTAATCAATGAAGCGTATACAGATTACAAATGAACCTGAAAACAAATTGATATGGCCGAAATTGATTAAAATCCCTTTTTTATGAAGTACTGCTTAAATAAAACTGATGCTTAAAACCCGAACGGGCATAAGAGTACAGATATCATAGCTTAGTTAATTGAACAAAAATATAAAACCAATAACCATCACAATAATCTTAGAGCATATACTTTTTCCTTAAATTTGTATGCAACCAATCTTCTGTAGCCATACTATGCCTTGTGGTTGAAGCCAAACCTTTGGCAGTTTCTTTTATGCCGGGTTGCACCAAATGCTTACACACACACACAGATAAACTCGTTTAACTGGAGTTAAAACAAATTCTGTTGCACAAACCGTGTTTTAAATTTTATCTGTTGTTAAAAATGTACTTTTATCAAGAGGTAAATTACATGGTCGTTTATCGCTGTGTAAAAATGTATGAATAGTTAAATTTTCTTATCGATGTTTTTGCGTTAAAGTGTTGATAATGGAAATGTGCGTTATCAGTTTATCATTGATTAGACCCTGTATGATAACAATATTAACTCTGCTACTGCTGATAACATTTATTCGATAACCAGTAGGTGTACTGGACATTAGTGTCTTGAAAATTATAATTCATACTTAACCGTATATAAAAAGGGTCTGAGTATTTGACTAAAGGTAAATCTAGAATTTTGCTATAACTTATAAAATTATATCAAACTTGACTGTATACAATTTCCAGGTCGCTCTGTGTAAATTAATCAAAAATAAACAGGTATCAGAAAAATATTTCTATTAATTCAACACATTTTTATAGACAGACAACCTTTTCTCATTCACCCAAATAAGTACTGAAAATAGAGTATAATTGTATATATGTTAGGGCGTTTGATATTTTATATTTATATTATATTATTTATATATAGTTTCCATTATCAATTAAAATTCTAAAAAATAATATTGGTTAGTTAATTTTAGTTAACTTTGTTGTTAATTTATTGACTTATTTGATATGATTGATATTGATATCAATAAATGTAGGTATAATGTCAAATACCTACATTTATTGTATTTTTTATATATTGTATTTTGCCCCTTAACAAAATAGTACAGAACTTTTAAAATAAAATTTATAATTCAGTTGAAGGCTAGACAAGTTCGTGAATTGAGTTAAACTAGAATTACATTTAAAAAAAAAGTTTTATCAAATCATTCGCTTCTCAAATTTGTTAAAAACATTAGGATAATTAAATATATACTTTTTAATTAAAAAAATTAAGTAAATTATTAAGTTATCCTGATTAAATGAAGTTAAGTTTATGATTATTTGAATTCTAATTAAAATTTCACGTTTAGCAGAGTTAAAAAAATAGTTCCTAATAATCTCCTTCACAAGAAAGTTTTGGGATATATGTACATTATTAGTAAAAAGTACCTGATATAAAAAAAAAACTTTACAAAATATTACGAATAAATAATTTTAATTTATTTTTTAAATAATAAAATATATAAACAAAACATTGTAAAATAATGGTATAGAAATGATTTCATAAATATATATATATTTATACTTATAAATACTCAATAATCAATAACTCAATGTAAAGCACATTGACCGTTAATAATATATTATAATCGTTTTAAAAAAACTTTATACTTATTTTTATGTACAAAATTCAATACCTAATTATTTCTAAACTCCAATTATTATTATAAAATCTAAAAATTGAAGAAAAGAATCACAATTATTCATACAGATCACTTAAGAGTTCTTAAAATTAATTATATTATAATTTTGTCTTAAACATTATAAATAATCACAAGTTTCTTTTAAATTAATATAAGGTCGGCAAGATATGTTTCATTGCTTTTGATTTTTTTTTTTTTTTGTTTCACAAAGCAACACCATTTACTAATGTTTCTTTTGATGATTCAATCGCTAAGACGCCAGTATCTTTTTCCTGAGAAAAAAAATTTGCATACTTTAAAAACATTGTTATTAATTAACTTATTATTACAAATGGCATTAAATATTGAAAAACGTTTTACCTTATCTCCGAGAGGCGTCAATTTCCATCCACCTTCGCCATCAAAGTGCAATATGTGAGAATGGAATTTCCTATAAAAAATCACAAATACATTAATAATATGATTTATGTGAGCATAAATTACATAGATCAGTAGTTCACAACGATAAGTTTGCCGAAAACACTATTTTTTTTTATTCTACATTTTTTATCTATTAAAAATGTCTTGGGAAAACATTGAACTTATTACCAAATATCTTTTCAAAGTCAAATTATTTTTCGTTTTACTGTTTTTTTTTAAAAAGTGTATTAATTAAACAAATAGTTAAATGTTATTATCTATTATTTAAAAAAAGGTAAAATAGAATAACACAATAATTTAAATATACTAAAAAGGTAATTTATGAATTTTAATTATATTGGTCACGATTCAATTGTCAATCAACGTTACAATTCTCAAAGTAAATTTAAAAAAAACCTATTGGCCAAGAAAAATAGTTTAATAACATATTATGTTAATAAAAATTAAAATGTATTTATCATGTGATTGATTTATGATTTTTTTTAATCGCAATCAGTTATATTGTATACATTTTTTTGTTCAACTTTGATCTTTTAAGACTTATTTGAACAGTAACGTATCAAAATACAGTCGAATTTTTTCCTGACCAATATAAAATAAATTGGTTTAGATTAATATGTGTTTTTTAAAATACATACAAATTCGCCAATTAAATTAATTATTTCAACCGTCTTGAGGACAACTTCTCTTTCAATTAATTCAGTTTTTTTTTAAACCCATTCTCAACTGAACATTGATGCGTTTTTAAGACTTAGCTAAAATCAAACATTCAGCGTTTTTCCTTTCAACGGACATCAGTTTTTTCAATAATAAGCAGTTTTTTTATTTGATTACACATTTTTTTTTCTTATAATTCTACCTTAAATTGTACCTCCTCGTTCAAATCGCCCTTTTTTATTTTAAATTAAATTTATTCGGATAAAAAATATGCGTGGAAATTGTGAGTCCGAGAACATTATACTATGTAGTTAAGTTAAACGAGTAATATTGCGTTAATTCGCTTATTAATTTAATAGAATTTTTCACAGGAAAATGTGATGCGAATTTCGATAAGAATTAAAAATACAATTCCAAGACGTCATTGCGCTTATGCGTCATAATATTAGTAACTGTTCGGTCAATTTAAAGTCTTGTATAAACAGTTCCCACGAATCTAAAGGCTAATTATTACATGCAATGTCCATTGTTCTACAAACACATACACTTGTTGTGCTTGGAAGTCGCCGAGATAAGTATCGTTCTTATTACTGTTGCTATTAAACTAAATCAACTAAATTAAATTATAAATATTTTGGCGTTCTACCTATCAATTTACTTTACAACAAATTTGCAATCATGTTTATTGTTAAAAATATTCCTATAAATAATAATATATATTCAAAACGTAATAGAACATAATATGACATCTGAAATAATTATACTAAAAAAAATACTGGACAAAGATTCGTTGACTACTTAGGACCTACTTTTATCAATGCATTACCTTTCTCTATTAAAAAGCTATAAGATCAAATCTCAAATTTAATACACAAAATAACCATCTCCAATTGGCTTCTACAAGAAATTTAATGACTTCTAACTAAATATAATGTATGTATAGACGTATAGTTAATAATTACAATATTACATTTAGTTTATAACTGTATTCTAAGTATATTTTAAGAAATCCATTCTTATTTGTATTTCCTCTTCGTATAACGTTTAATTTAGTTTCAAAATCAATATGCTACTGTAATATAATATATAATTTAAGTTTGTAACATGTAACTCTCTACTACCAACACAAGCTCTGTTTAAAGGTAGTAGATATAACAATGCATTTTGTTTTCTTTAATTAAAAAAATATATTTACCACAGAGAAGGCCTATGCGTGATGGTAAGCAACGTGATTCCAGAGTCTTTGGCCGACTGGTACATGTCGCTCTCCACGTCTATACTAACTGCACTGGTGCATTCGTCTAGCAACGCGAACGACGGTCTGAAAACATAATAATTTAATATTATTTCCATTACAACCACGTTGTCACAGTTACATATTAAGAACAGCTGATGAAATGAGAAACACATTTATTTGCTACACACAAAAACGTAGAGCCATGGTTATCCCTCCCCACCCCTCTCTGGCCGATCCCGCGGTTTCCCCTATTCCCTTTTGTTTCCTCTTCATTTGTCTGGGACTCTTACTTGTGATAAAATATTCTGGCGAAAGCCATTCTTTGTTTTTCACCGCCGGACAACACGTCTTTCCAGTCGGCCGTCGCGTCCCAGCCTCCTTCCCGCTGTATTAAATGGTACAGATGAACTCTGGCTAAACAAGCCTCCAAGTCCTGTTCCGTGATGCCTTTGGCCTGCATGTCCAACAGCGTGTCCGGATAAATCACTTGTTCTTTCAGCGTACCTATTGTCATGTACGGCCTAGAAACAGTACACAAGTTGTTAAACCAGCAACCAGCAAGCAAAGTCCTCGTTAGACTCTTGGCAGGATCTCTCAAAAAATTAGCAGATCTCGAACAATTGGAAATCACACCCTTACTTCGCAGTTTTGTTTATAAAACCATTACCGGGCAGTTGTGAACACTGCAACACTCATTCTGACACAAGGTTCAGTTTGTACATCATTCTGTCTTGCCAATTTTGGAGGGTTAACCCTCTCAAGTCATCCCCTAGTTAAACTGAGGTCTCTAAAAAATTTCTCTCTGTTCTACCATCTATCATCTCTCTCTCTCTCTCTCTCGTTTCCTTTGCTATGGATGCAACTTCTAAACTTGTCTTTTACACTAGTTTCTAGTTCTGCTGATCCTAGCCAATCCGCGTCTCCTGGGCTAGCCCAACACACATGACTCTGGACTATGATTTAACGAACTCGGGTCGGTTTTACTCACCTCTGGGGTATGTAAAACATACAACAGTTGGGAGGCCTTATCAGCGTGCCGGCGTACACGGGCCACAGACCGCTTAAGACTCTGAACAGCGACGATTTGCCGCATCCGTTGGGTCCTGTGATGAGTAGATGTTCGCCGGGTTTCATCGTCAGTGTCAGGCTGGGGACGACCACGTCGCCGTTAGGTGTGACAATTGGCACTTCGTACAGCGATATGCTTCCGTCCGGACTATTTTTTATTATACCTGTACAACGGAATCAATATTTGCTTAAACGCTGTTTGGTTTGTGTGCATGTAATTAAGCGTGAACACGGCAGCTAGTGTGCACGAACAAATAAAGTAAATCCATTGACAAACTTAGGCAAACGCCAGTAACGTCTGTTCAAAACTCACAAGTTACTTTTAATCCGAAACAGATTATAACACTATCCAGACCAGTTTGTTCGCGAATATTACCTCTTATCACGAGTTGTCCGTCTTTGTTGTAATGGAGTTTTGGTAACATTTTGTGTATCTTTGTGCTGCTAAGGCCGTTCCTGCGGTACTTGCACTTGCTGACGTCGTTGAACACGTCCAACATGGCGCCCACCCTGTAAGTGTAACCGGCCAATTCGACAATTTCCTACAATGAAAAATGCCGAACAACAACATTGCCGTTAATAATCGACCGACGGATAATGTCAAATGATAATTACTTTGTAAGAAGTCATTAATCTCTCGATGGCGTCGGCTCCGGATGCCAACAGATTTCTGGCTGTGGTCAGGTATTGTGTCCTTTCGCTCACTCCGCCGTCGGGCGAGTCGTTAAGTTCTGCAAAACAAAAGTCAGAAATTGCACGGGTCATCACACACATGTCATGTTTCGCTTCATTTGTTGTTGGGTTTTTGTTAGCAAAAAATCATTTACCCGCAACTCTCGAGCTGGTGATTATGGGCAGCGAGACCACGACCATTCCGGTGCCGCTCCAGACGTACTTCATCAGGAACTGTTCTAGGACCACGTACCACAGTCTCTGGCTGAACACCGAGTTCATATGGAGGACTAGGGACTGGTAAGCGTTTTGCAAGTGGATCTTTTCCACCTGAAAAAATAATTTCGGCATGGTTATTTAGGTATTTATTTTGTACTCAACGTGGCCATGTTTTAGAGCTGAGGCCTAAGTGGAATTATTAGTGCCGTCAATTTTCCAGACAGCGATAAGAAACAACTGACAAAGAGAATTGGTGATGAGAGACATCTGTGATAATGGCTCCTGATAAGAGACAGACGATAAGAAAACGGTGACAAATGGAGGGCGGGGAAGGAGATAGAAGGAAACGAGGGAGAGAAAATGAACATGAACACCAGGGATGGTCCAAAAACATGTCCATGATTTTTGGTTTCTTCATAAAGTAGATAATATGTAATTTTATTTTTTTTAGCATGGAACATGCTTTAGCCTTGACACCCCAGCTCGAAACGACACAAAATAGCGTCACGAAAGTAGCGCGAAAGTGGCGCGATCTAGCGGTTGCTTTTATATATAATATAAATATTATATTTGTACATAAAATGTCGTGGCCAATTAGTTTTTGTTGATATCGCAAGGAGATTATAGATATGTAATAATCATTATTCAAGAGCCAGCAGACTAAAGCGTGTGTTCCGTGTTTTTTAATTTTAACCGTTAGGCTTTAAGTAGACTGTAACTATTTTTAAATCAATGTCATTGTTTTACTAGCAACGTGGAAATCAAAAAAAATTCCCAGGACAAAAATAGTCTGTGAAAATTCCATTCTTAAATACACACTAATAAAATATCAAACCTATTTTGGTAGTGTTTTTTTACAATTTTTTCAAACTCTTATTGTAGATCAAGAGTGTATTATCCAAAGAATACCTCGAATTTAAAACTATTACTTTTGATATTTTCTCCAAAGTTATCGAGTGGAATATTTAAAAAATTAAAAATATGTATTCATTTTTAAGACGTTTTACTCGATTTTTAATAATGAGGGATTATGACTTTTCCATTTTTAGCCTTTAGAAAAGACAATTTTTAAGTACAGACTTGTCACTTCATTTTTTTTGACGTGCAAAAAAATATGAAAAAATTTCTGACTTCAGTAATGAGTATAGAAATTTGCTATTAATACACTATTAGACATTCAAACAAAATGAAAAATATTTAAAAAATGTCGACATAAAATAATAATGTTTCATAGCAATTTAGATCAAACAAGTATAGAAATCAGTAGTAAAAAAAAAAGATCGTTTTGAAATTTTTATTTTAACGAGCCAGCACTCAAAACTTGACCTTTTTGTCTGTTGGGTTAAATTTTCATTATTTTTTTTTTGTTTTCTTCGACCAGGTTTTTTCACGGCCGTTTTTTTTTACTAATTCGGCCAACACCGATCGTATTAACATTTACTATGATAATATTATTGTTACAATGTTGGCGGCTGATAGTAATTATGATAATTTAAAAGTACACACAATATACCAACGCCAAGCACGATGATTACAGCGTGTATTTATGTATATATTATTATGATTATTCGAATATTATTATATCATAATAATAAATATAAAAAACACATCCAAATCGGAAGACCTTAACCCGGTTTTTTTGTTTTTTCAGAAATAAAACCATTAGTTCAAATAATTATAGAAACGTGCACAAGCCATCGCAAAGTAAAATAATACAGTGTACGACTGCTGCTGCTGTACAGGGTGATCCATCTGATGTACGACACTCATTTGATGCCAGTATAACCTCTATTTCACCAAACGGATTTCGACATTTAATAGCAGCCCATTGATTGGTGTCGTTATCTAGCAATTGAAAAAAAAAATGGACTTCTCCCGTGCCCTTCGTATGTTTCCATTTGGGGAAAAGACAAGGGACGAAGGTAGGCGTAAAAACGTTCGGTGTATTGAAAAACACAGTAAAATATGTACCTACAAGTGAATAACTTTGGAAATATTGGTATTTTCCTGGGAAAACTAGTGTCTTGCATCAAGACGGATCACCTTGTATACCTAATATACTATTCCCCCCTCGTGTGTAAGCGGGTCGTCAACCCGCGCTTTATCTCCGTGTCGCACACGTCCAGGGTTAGCTACTGCCGTTCGATTTGTTACGCACTACACCGGCATGTTGTAGTAAATATATATATATATATATATATATATATATATTTATTTGTATGTATATATAGATATGAATAAGCGTAATTAAATTGGCGTTATACGACTGTCTATAACTTGTGTCTTACCTTGTGGCCGCCGTAAAACGCGATCTCCTCGGCGTTTGTGATGACCCTGGAATGGATATGCCGGAGGTACGCTTTCCTATCAGCCTCTACGGCCACCAACGAACCGAATTTCGGCGATAACATCCGCAAAATTTGCCCGGTGATGCTTATGACGACGATGGCCAACAGAGGTCCTGAAAAAACAAAAAAAATACAATTATTGTAACAACCGTTTGAAGATATGGGTCGTTCGTCGCAAAAGTGGTGTAACTCGACATTTTTAACAAACATACATATTTTGCACATTGTCACGTTTAGTCATGATGTCTTTCGTTTTGAAAAATAAACATCAACTGAAAACCCCGAATGAATACTTGTATGGTTTTTCATACACATTAATATTTACATGAATCTCGTTCAATTCAATTACAAGGAGATAATTGAAGGCGCTCGGATGCCAAACCGATTAACTCCACTTTTTTTTTCAAATTGCGAATAATAGTATGGTTGTATTAGAAAATTGTATAATTTTCAGTGGCCAAGATAAATAACTCCATAATTGAATTTTTCACCGATAGAATGCGCTAAGAAAATTGACAATTTTACTTACGTACATTGTTTCAAATAACTTGAACTGCCTGTCCTGAAAAATGTAATTTTATGGAGTTTATCAGTTTGGCTTCTGAGCGCATCAATTCACTTTTACAACGAACGATACATATTATACTAATGCATAATATTATAATTATTCACGCAAGAATCACAGATTGGATAAAACCAGATGGCACATATTATAGTAAGATGTTTTGTCGAGGAGAATTCCAGTTATCAATAAGTATTCTATACCTAAAAAATAGTCCATACAAACTTGGAAGTATTTGGACTTTTTCTCATATAAACTTGCTACATAATAGTGTCGGTCTGATGGTTAAAAATATATTATCTTGAGTGCTAATTTAATTATAATACTGTTAACTAAACTAGGTAGTAGTTTAGTTAACAGTCGAGTCATTTGTTTGTAGCTTCAATAATTTGCATACAGCGTGTTTATTTTCAAACAAGAACAGTCTTTCCAAAAAATTAAACACAGAATTCTAAGCTTTCTCTGAAAACGCACTCTAAGAAAACATATTATGGTTTTTAAGTTTTTAAAAAACATATAAATTTTAGTATTTATTTTCTCTTTCAAGACAGCTTTTGCACAGCTCAAGCATAGGAACGTACTATTGTTAGTATATTTTTAGAAATGAGGAAATATAGCCTAACCAAGCCCTTGGATTTTGTTGATACCTGCTAGTCTTGAAGTATAAACCTTACCATTAGAAAACGTTACGCCAAATTCGACGATTGTACACTTTCGGTTTAGAAAAACGGGAGTTGAATTGCCAAAATATTATTATTTTACGGTTTTCTTTTTATACATTGCTAAAATTGTCTTCGTGCCAAAACAATACATAATAATAATGATTTTTTTTTTATTATTTACAGCGCAGTTAAACCAACGACAACAACGTAAGTCTGACCAGAGGCGACTTTCTCTTTTTGAGGGATAATTATGATTTATTTTTTCGTCTTTTTCTTCTTCTTTCTTTATAGCTTCTTGCCACACGAACGTCGGTGTACAGCTGTGGAATGCTATCCCAGAAACAAGTAGACGTTCATTTGAAAACTAGTACTTGCACCGGTGATGCAGCAATAATAGACCGAGATGATGGACAACACACTATTTCTGGTGTCGAAGAAAACCACCAACAGTTGATGTACAATTCGTTAAAACGAGATTCTCAGGACGAAATCGACGAGTTCAACCGGAGAGTTAGTAAATAATAATAACTAATATTAGTTCTGGTATTATTTATATGAAGGTAGACAATAATATTAGATATTGAGATGGGCAAATCGTCGCTCAAGATGCAATACCACGTATTATCAAATAAAATGTATAACACGGCTATTTTGTTTTTGAATGGTAATAATTAAAACTGTTTATTTTTTTTGCTTTTCTGTAAAGCTGAGAAAATTAGATAATATGTGATGTGAGTTGATCATCAAGTGAAATGGACTTTAGCTAAAAAATGTGGACAAACGCCAGTCATTAATGTTGACACATTATATTATAAATTGTTATAAAGTGATTAGCAGTACAAAAACAATGGATGCGTTTAATTCAAACTGATAACAGACATATTAACAAATTATTTATTTATAGAATTCATGTAAGTGTTGTTCAATTCAATTCTAAGACATATTATTATTATACTCGACCAGAAAAAACCGTCTGTCTTGCCACGTGCTTACTTTAATGTCCAACGTATTGTCATAATATTATGTACATGAAATTGAACTAATTATTTCTTTATGCAACAGAGCACAAGCGAAAATAATTAGTTCTTTTTCCATAGGTTGCGTGCGTTTTTTAATTTATTTTTCAATAACGGTCTATTAGTGAAACAGCAAAATTATTATAATAATCGCTAACGTTTATGAGATAATATTATATAAATATTTTTTTTTTTCAAATGCAAAATGAAAACTATATTAACCGAACCGCAACGGCGGACGAAGGAAAAGTCGACCCAACTGTTTGATGTAATACTTGACTTTGAGAAAATAGCGGTAAAAAAGAAATTATATAAACCTACATCAATTTGTTGACCGTACTTAACAAATAAAGTACATCCAATACATATTATTTCAACGCAATTTATTGTTCAGTGTGCAATGTAAACGTTTACTTGGTCTACGACAAAACCCACAAACGCCTATTATATAATATAATAATAGCATATTATTACCGTATATCATAATTCATAAATAAAATTATATTATTTCAAAAATGACTGAGTAATTTTCACACACAACGAAACCATGCAAAATAAAAAACCAACAAAATGAGTTTCAAAAAAAAAAAAATATATATATATATTTACATTTCATAAAATAGTATGTAAAAAATTAGAAAAGAAAATAGCCAATGAAAATTCCATAATATTTCCCATTGTAGAATTGTTTTTTTATCGCAGTACCTCCGGCCATTGTTGTCACATTTTTTAATGAACTAATTATGGGAAAAATAAACTAGGTAGATATTTATTTCATACGTGTTTCTGGTGTTATGTTTTATTGCGATTTAGAATAAAAAAAAAATATACAGTACATTATTATAACATGAATTCAATGTCAACGTTTATGTAAATAACGACACAATGCATACTAATCGCCATCAGGTTTTTTTTTCAACAAAAGTCACTGAATTTTATCCACTCATTTCCAACTGTTCAGATTTTTAATAATATGATGCCATTATATTATTATATAATATTGCCTATTTATTTAGAATGGGAGGAAATAATAATAATTAATTACACTTGTAATGTTATTATGAAAACAATAATAGGTATAATATTTCATTGCGCACTACTTTACAAGATCATGTATAATTAAAGCTTATGTGCAATTGTAATACACTTATATATATATATATGTATATTATTCTTATCTCATGACCTTTATGAAAATGAACCGTATGTGCGCAGTATCATTAGGCCGACACACGGTGTATTTTTATAATCACACTATTTGGAGAGAAAAAACCAATGCTCTATCCAATAGGTTTCCCGTTCATATTTTAGAGGATTATTATAGAATATATAGAGGATGTCATTACATTGACGACAAGGACTTTTCAAGGATTTCAATGCAAATCCCATTAAGATTTCCGCAATCGACGCGTTCCTTTAATGTACTTCAATAAACCAACGGTATATGTATATATATATAGACATACATATTTTATATGATTAATAATATCACTCTTATGATGTTTGAATTAATATTACAGTGCGTTTGAAAACATTAAAAAGTCGATTATCTATCATAGCACTATGTAGAGTGTGTGTACAAAACAGAAATTAACGATAACCACCGTTGTGTGTCTATTACTTATAATAATAATAATTCATCCTGTTTTTTTTTTCTTAATATAAACATTTAATCCCTGAGACAGTAGGTCAAGGAGATTATGTGAGTGAGTTACTGGTTATACCAGTAAATGGTACCTACTCGTAAAAAACAAGCTTTGTTTTGTCGTGTGCTATATTGAATTATTATCCACGTTTATATTATTAGGTATAAAATATGAGATTTCCATATTTCCATTTGTTATCCTGTATCTAATTGGTTTTTACCCCATTTTCAACTACCTACAGTTGACATAGGTATATTACTATATATCCAAGGTTTGTTATGGTACGTGATTAGAAAGAAATCCTTAAAAAAACAAATCATAACCTTAAAAGGTAATATTATAGTTTCTGTTGGCTTGGGTAGCATCTTTTGCCGATGGACCGACGGTTAAGATACACACACACTTTAAGTTGCCCGAAAATACCATAATATTTATTAAGCTGGCCCCCGTTGATAAAGTACTAATATTAATAAAACCGGAGGCCGACACCACGTTGTCGTTTATGCACAATATCAGCCAACAATAATAATAATTATGGTCAGTGGGTACAATGTCGCGGTACTTGATTTTTATGCTTAAAAATTGTGGTAATTAAAATATTATAATACAAAATATGCCGGCAACAAAATGAGTTGCACGTCATACGGTTACAATAGCGGCAATAATTATTATTACTTACTCACTTGAACCATCAAGATAGTAGCAAATATTTTAATTTGAAATACTTAACCCGACTAAATGTATAGTCGAGTAGGTTTAGCTAAAAAAATGTTCAATCGGCCTAACTAATTTATTTAGTTATTCCAACTAAATTTGCCATAAGTAATTAGCAGTGTTCAATTTACCTCGTTATTTTTTAATTGAAAAAGGTTAATATGTACTTTATACCTAATTTAATAGAATAAAAAATAAATATTGGCCTTTTTTTATTGCATTTACATTTTTCCCATTCCCTTGCAATTATTATCCCACACAACGTTATTCGAATGAATTATGCTCTAACTCAGCTCAAGGTCTATTTCAATTTAATGATGTCATTTTTAAGCCGAAGGAGTTGCTAAGGGTTTAAAATATTAGACCAGACTAAATCTTTTAAGCACAGTTATGGGGGGGGGGGGTAAAGTTAACCCTCCCCATAATATGCAAATTGGGTAATTTACTTATATTGGAACTGCGGTTGCTTAGAAGAACACTGCATGGTAAAATCCAAACTTTGGTGAATCTCTT